CGGACTGTCTGACGCCCTTGTTGCTTTGTGCCTGGCAGGGAGGCACTTGCCGCAAAGGACTCTGCTGAGGCCCTCCCGGAGCTCCAGATGGTTGACGTCCTCATCCGTGCTTTGGCGGAGCATCTCGGACGCAGCTCGACCTCGCATGCAACATTCAAGGAGATCCAGTCAGTCTTCACCCGGACAAACCTGGAGCTGCAAGGCATCCACGCCGTCCGCTGGTTAAGCCGTGGTGACGCGATTGCGCGGTTTGTGAAGGTGCTTCCGGCGGTGGTGGTCCTCCTCGAGCAGCTGGATAAAAACTGTTACCAAATGGTCACCAGCCTGAAGTTTCACTTTTACGTGTACTTCCTGGCGGATGTACACGTCGAGCTGAACATGCTCAACCTTCTCTTCCAACGGCGCGAGGTATTTGCCACACATTTTGCAAAAGCGAGGTCTCAAATGAACTGATACTTACCGTTCTTTTATGTCGTCTGTCCTCCCTGCCCCTCAACCCAATCACAGGTGGACTTGACGGCGGTTCACTCCCAGATGAGGCGCCTCGAGGTTTTCATCAGGGAGCGGTACATTGACTGTGGGCAGCAGTTCGGTGCTGGGTCGAGCGCACTGCTATCGCCGTTCCTCGCTCGACACGGTGCTGCATGCAGCAGGAGCATGAAAGTGCAGGGAGTGGACACCGACGGTGTGCCAAGGGAGCATGAGTTCACCCTGCACGAGGAGCCGATTCCTGGCTACGCGGAGGGCGTCGGTGACCTGCCGTCTTGCATTCGGACGTGCCGCTCGTTTGCGACGGAGCTGCTGTTACACCTCGACTTTCGGCTTGGCGACCTGTCGAACCTCAACGCCGCCAAAGCTCTTCATGCCAAGGTCATGGCCGCGAGGAAAAGAGGCGAGGGACGCGGAGTGCAAGGGACACATGGAGAGCTGGCGGTGATGTTCCATGCGCGCGACAGGTGACGAGATCCTTCCTGGTGAGTTTCCGTGTCTGTTTACACACTTCACGTTGCAGTGTAAATTGCACCCTTGTGTGAATTGTAAATCGCAGTGTAGACTCCGCCAGGTAACCGCCAAAGATGACCCGAAACCCTCGTGTATGGTTTTTTCTAACACCCCACCAAGCAGGTGTCAACAAGCGCGAAGTGCGGAAGGAGATGCGCACTTTCCTATCTGTGCTGTCCGGGGCGCCAAAGGAGGAGCAGCCATTCCATGCTGGCTTGCGGCGATATTGTCAGCATCGGACTGGCAGCGGACCTATCCGAACCTGGTGCGGCTGTGGGCGGCCGTCGCGGTGTTGCCTCTCAGCACGGTGGAGTGCGAGCGCGGATTTTCGCGCCAAAACGTGATCAAGAGCTGGATCCGGACCAGCTTGCATGACGCGAAGCTGGCCGACCTCATGACGCTCAGCTTGTTAGACTACGACATGGTGTGGAGCGAAGTCGTGGCATTGTGGCGCTAGCACCAGGAAGAGGCGACCCACCAAGCGAAAGGCAGCAACTGTGGATGTATCGAGGAGGAGTGGCACAGGGTTCCGGGGGTCACTAGCAGAGAAGCGTGACCACCATCACGCTGCTGAGGAGGGTGATGATGCTGTAGACAGTGGAAGGGACAATGCTGAAGACGATGCCTCTGAAGATGATCAGGTGGAGGCGGAGGATGATGATGAGGGGTACTGAAGTGCATGTTCAATATTTACCATAACAATGAGAACTTTCATAAGGGCTCTTAAGTCATTATTACTGTGCCCTGCTCTGCCTGACTGATTGGTCTGTGTGTGTGTGATGTAATTACAAGGGAACTCAGCTTCTAACTAAGTGCACAGGATAAAGTGAAAAGTAGCACTGACTTGGCAGGATAATGTCACTTGTAGCACTGACCCTACAGCATACCCACCCTTGCTCTATCCTGACAGTTCAGGACAAAATAGGAATTCTTAAAACCTGCCCTGAGTCCACAGGGTACCCTCAAACGAATCTGAGGCCCTGCCTGCCGAGAAGAGATCGTAGGCTCTGAATACCAAGTGTTACCGTCATCGCCCGGATATAAGACAGTGTCGAATTGAAGACATGGGGTGTCGTTAAAACGGGTGTTTCTTATAGATGGGTGTTCCTGATTATAAGACAGCTGTCGGTGTGTACGAGTTAGGCCAGTATATGGATTAGGGGCAATCTTATGACTAGGGGGTATCTTCTAAACGGTTTTTTGTCCATTTATAAGAATTATAAGACACCCTCTGTCAGAACTTATAGCTTACTTGTTTCTGTAGGCTATAGTGGGGTATCCCATAGGGGGTACAACCCAATTAGGGTTTCCTATTTGTACTCACCTCGTTCATAGTCATTCCACTTCTCGTTCGTACTTTCTCATGGAATCAGAGCAGGTCCCTCCTAGGGCCTGTTCCTAGGGCCCACCGAAGCGCGCCCCGAGGCGCGCATTTTTTTTTTAGCGGACCCTCCGAGTCGCCCCTCCCGTCGTGCTCCCGCTTAGGCCCCTCGTCGGCCCCCGCTTAGGCCCCTCGTCGGCCCCGCTTAGGCCCCTCGTCGGCCCCGCTTAGGACCCTCGTCGGCCCCGCTTAGGCCCCTCGTCGGCCCCTGCTTAGGCCCCTCGTCGGCCCCGCGTACCCCTCGTCGGCCCCCGCGTAGGCCCCACGTACCCCTCGTCGGCCCCCGCGTACCCCTCGTCGGCCCCGCGTACCCCTCGTCTGCCCCGCGTAGGCCCCGCGTACCCCTCGTCGGCCCCACGTAGGCCCCGCGTAGGCCCCGCGTACCCCTCGTCGGCCCCGCGTAGGCCCCGCGTACCCCTCGTCGACCCCGCGTACCCCTCGTCGGCCCCGCGTAGGCCCCGCCCAGGCCCCGTCTCGGCTCCGTGTCGGCCCCGCGTAGGCTCCGTCGGCCCCGCTTAGGCCCCTCTTCGGCCCCGCGCCGGCCCCACCTACGCCCTGTCGGCCCCGAGCTGGCCCCGCTTAGGCCCGCCACCGGCCCCTGCTACAGCCCGCCGCGTCGGCCCCGCCTACAGCCCGCCGGCCCGCCTAGGCCCCACTTCGGCCCCTCGTCGGCCCCACTACAGCCCGCACCGGCCCCTGCTACAGCCCGCCACCGGCCCTGCTACAGCCGCCACCCGGCCCCTACTACAGCCCGCCGCCGGCCCTGCTACAGCCCGCCACCGGCCCTGCTACAGCCGCCACCGGCCCCTGCTACAGCCCGCCACCGGCCCTGCTACAGCCCACCACCGGCCCTGCTACAGCCGCCACCGGCCCCTGCTACAGCCCGCCGCCGGCCCTGCTACAGCCCGCCGCCGGCCCTGCTACAGCCCGCCAACGGCCCTGCTGCAGCCCCGCCTTGCTGCACGTGAGCAGCCCCAGCAGCCCGCGCCGCCCGTGAGCCCCTACGCCACCCGAGCCGCGCGAGACGCCCGAGCCGCCCGAGCCGCCCGAGCCGCCCGAGCCGCCCGAGCCGCCCGAGCCGCCTAAGCCACGCGAGCCACCTGAGGAGCCGTGCTGCTGTCCCTGAGCTGTGTTCCTCTACTGCTGACCTACGCGACTCTTCCAGCCCGGTGAGACTTTCAGCTGCTGCCATGGCCACCCCCAATGTTCTTACTTTTGACGCTGAGGGGAGGGCCATTGACTTTGCCGTCTGGATTGAAGACCTGCAGCTGTACTTACTGTGTGATGCGATAGATGAGGTCTCTCTCTTTGACTTTGTCTCTGGAGCTGTCCCTGCCCCGCCTGCTGATGCTGACTCTGCCGTTCGCTCCAAGTGGGCGACCCGCGATGCTGCTGCACGTCTTGCTGTGCGTCGCCACCTCCCTTCCTCTGAGCGTGCCCACTTTAGTCAGTGCAAGACCGCTCAGGCCTTGTACGACGCTGTAGTTGCACGCTACTCCTCCCCTTCCTCCGCTACCCTTAGCCGCCTCATGCTACCGTTTCTCTTCCCTGACCTCGCTTCCTTTCCCACTGTCGCTGACCTCGTTACCCACCTCCGCGCTAGTGACGCTCGCTACCGCGCTGCCCTTCCTGCTGAGTTCCGCGCCGCAAACCCTCCTCCCATGTATATCACTCTCTACTTTCTCGTCACCCGTCTTCCTGAGTCCCTTCGTGTCGTTAGGGACCAGTTTCTCTCTGTCTGTCCCACCACCCTCACTGTCGACCTCCTTGAGGAGTCCCTGCTAGCGGCTGAGAAGAGTATAGTCGCTGTAGGGGCCTCTAGGGGTGACCCTCGCACCCCCATCTTTGAGGGGTGTTCTCCTTCCCCCCTGCTGCCCTCTGTCGCCTCTGCTGCTACGGCCGACCTCGCTGGTTTTGAGTCGGTCGGTGCGGCGTCTGCCCCCAGCGGCAGACGCCGCGCTGGCAAGGGCAAGGGGGGCAAGGGAGCGGGTGGATCTAGAGGAGGCAGTGGCGGAGGAGGTGAGGGTGGCGGGGGGAGTGGGGGTGGCGGTGGAGGTGGTGGCGGGAGTGGAGGTACTAGTGGCGGCGGTGGAGGCGGAGGTGGCGGCGGAGGTGGTAGCGGAGGAGGCGGTGGGAGCGGTGGGAGCGACGGTCCTGGTGGGGGAGGTGGCGGTGGAGACGGGGGGTGGCGGTGGAGGCGGGGTGTGGTGGTGGAGGCGGGGGTCGGAGTGGCTCGTCCCAGCGGAGCAGCTCTGGGGGTGGTCAAGCGCCAGCAGCCAGCAGCAGCAGCAGCAGCAGCAGCAGCCGCAGCAGCAGCAGCGCTCTCGCACCGTCCCCGGCCCTCAGCAGCTCCGTGAGTGGTACTTGCAGCGTCAGCGCGGTGGTGCTCTTGGTCCCTGCCCCTACGTTCTTCGCACCGGTGACCGTGCGGGGGAGAGGTGTGGAGGCGCCCACGCAGCCCGTCGCTGCTTTGGCCGCCTGACCGACGCCTGGCGTCAGCAGTTTCCGGAGGCCGCTGAGATCCCCCGCTGGGGAGAGCTGTCTAGGGCTGGAGTAGCTATTTATGATCTTGACTTTGATGCTATTCTCTCTGCTATGTATGCTGTGACTGGTAGTGATGAGGATGACTGTTACCGGTGTTTCCCGCCCGACCCGGGCATTGGTACTGCCGCGTCAGGTACTAGTGAGGCTGCCTGCGCTAGGTGCCAGTGCGTCTGTGCTCTCAGGTGCTGGTGAGTCTGCCCTCTCAGGTACTGTGTCGGCTTCGGCCTCTCACACCTTCACCCTTGACTCTGGAGCGTCTCGCTCCTTCTTTAGGGACCGCACCACTCTCACGCCGCTGAGTCGGCCGGTTGCAGTGTCCCTGGCTGACCCCTCTGGGGGGCCGGTCCTGGCTCGCTTCTCCACTGTCCTCCCGTGTCCAGCGGCCCCCTCTGGCACCCTGACTGGTCTCTACCTCCCCTCGTTCTCGACGAACTTGGTGAGTGGTGCTGACCTCCAGGATGCGGGTGTCCACCAGTTCACCCCTGCTCGTCAGCGGGTGACCCACTGCACGGAGGAGGATACAGGTCGCCACCTGGCTACGTTTACACGTCGGCCAGGGTCGAGCCTGTACACACTGACCACTGCTTCTCCTCCATGTGCTGAGTCTGGTAAGGTCCCTTCGTCTGGTCAGGTGTTTGCTGCAGCGTCCAGGTCTGGTCCTGAGTCTGCCCCCTGCTCGTGTCGTCGTCTGTCTCACGAGACCCTCCTCTGGCACCACCGCCTTGGCCACCCCTCTCTGCTTCGGCTCAGAGGCATGGCCTCGCGAGTCCTTGTGTCTGGTCTTCCCCGGTCTCTCCCTCCCCTTCCTCCGGGCCCTGGCCCCACCTGTGTCCCCTGTGTCGAGGGGCGCCAGCGTGCTGCCCCTCACTCCTCCCAGTTTCCTCCCACAGAGGCCCCGTTGCAGACGCTTCACATGGACGTGTGGGGCCCAGCCCGCGTCCGTGGACAGGGTCAGGAGCGCTACTTCCTGCTGGTGGTTGACGACTACTCGCGTTACACCACAGTCTTCCCCTTGCGCAGCAAGGGTGAGGTCACTGAGGTGCTGATCGACTGGATCCGCGCAGCTCGTCTCCAGCTTCGGAGGAGCTTTGGCTCTGACTTCCCTGTTTTGCGTCTGCACTCGGACAGAGGTGGAGAGTTCTCCTCCGGCCTCCTGAGTGCCTACTGTCGTGTGCGAGGCATCCGTCAGACCTTCACGCTTCCGGACTCACCGCAGCAAAATGGGATTGCTGAGCGTCGCATTGGCATGGTCATGGACGTCGCTCGTACGTCCATGATGCATGCGGCTGCTCCCCATTTTCTGTGGCCGTTTGCGGTCAGGTACGCTGCGCACCAGATCAACCTCCACCCCAGGGTCTCTCGACCGGAGACCTCCCCAGCCCTGCTGTGGACGGGGAAGGTTGGCGATGCGTCGGCGTTCCGGGTCTGGGGATCTCGGGCGTTTGTTTCGCGACCTGTCTGCGGACAAGCTGTCCCCTCGTGCTTCTCCCTGCGTCTTCCTGGGGTTCCCCCCCGACGCCCCTGGGTGGCAGTTTTACCACCCCACCTCTCGACGTGTTCTGTCCTCCCAGGACGTCACGTTCGACGAGTCGGTACCCTACTACCGCCTCTTCCCCTACCGCACTCCGTCCCTCCCCCCACCCCCGCTCTTCTTGGTACCAGGTCCCCCCCCCGGTAGTCCCCCTCCCCCCTCAGGGTCCTGCCCCTTCAGGTGTGTCCCAGGTAGACGCGGTCGAGCCTGTCGAGGTCACTGGTGACTCTGGTGCTGCTGCGGGAGCTGAGCCTGGGGGTGCGGAGTCTGGGGGTGCTGAGCCTGGAGGTGCCGAGTCTGGGGGTGCTGAGCCTGGGGGTGCTGAGCCTGGAGGTGCTGTGCCTGGGGGTGCTGAGCCTGGAGGTGCCGAGTCTGGGGGTGCTGTGCCTGGGGGTGCTGGGCCTGGGGGTGCTGAGCCTGGGAGTGCCGTGCCTGGGGGTGCTGTGCCTGGGGGTGCTTCGTCTCGCCGGGAGCCACTCTCCCCACAGGAGCTGCGTGAGTGGTTTGCCGGGCGCTGGAGGCGTGCTGCTGGTGCTGGTGGTTCTTCGGCTGCAGAGGGCACTGCTGCTGCGCGCCCCGCCGGCGCTCGTACTGTGGGTGCTGGAGCTGCTGAGTCTGAGAGTTCTCCTGGAGCTGGTCCTGCTGAGGGTGTTGGCGCTGAGCCTGCCGTTGGCGGCTCGACTGACAGTGCTCCTGGTGCTGCGGCTGGAGGTTCTGGTGCTGCTGGAGGTGCTGCTGGAGTGGGTGCTCCTGCCGGGGCTGCTGGTGCTGTTCCTGCTGTTTCTAGCGTCGCCGCGCGGCCCCGACCGTACTTCGTTCCGCTCCGGCAGCAGGTTCTTGGTCTTACACCTCCTCCTCCTCCCTTAGAGGGTCCGCAGCCTGTCCGGTCACAGCCACAGCTACAGCCTGCCTCCCCTTTGCCTGCTCCTTCTCCCTACGCTGGTCCGACTGGAGGTCTTACTGAGCGTCGTGAGCCTGCGTCTCGTCCTGTGTCGCCTGTTCGTATTGAGCGCGCTAGTGGTCGCGGGTCGCGTCAGCGGCCTCCTCCTGTCCCTGGCACGCACCGGATGTCACTGCGTCCGTCCACTGCTCCTCTGCGTGCCCCTTTGCCTTCTCCTCCTGCTTCCTCTCTTCCTGCTCTTGCCGACCCGGAGTCGGACGCTCTTCGTGCTGCCAGTCCTACTGTCACGCGTCTCCTGGCTACTGCTGTCACTGACCCCTCCTTCGAGTCGTCTGCTGCGTCTGCCCTTGTCACTGAGCTTGTCGACTTTGCTGCGCGCTGTCGTCTAGACTACGCTGCTCGTCTTGTCACTGAGTCTGAGTCCGCCTGTCCTCCGTCCGTCGGGGGTGAGTGTGCCCTTGGCACGGACGTCCTTGAGGACAGGCAGGAGGAGTTCCAGTGTCTGGCCGCCGCTTCACCTCGTCTCGCGTCTGTACTGCTAGCCCCTGAGGGAGACCCGGATGCACCAGACATCCCGACTCCGCGCTCTTACGCGGAGGCGATAGAGGGTCCCTACTCCTCTCAGTGGCAGGCAGCTATGGATGCAGAGATGGCTTCCTGGAAGTCCACAGGCACCTACGTTGACGCTGTTCCCCCTCCTGGGGCAAACATCGTCAGTGGCATGTGGATTTTCAGGGTGAAACGGCCGCCGGGTTCTCCGCCTGTCTTCAAGGCGCGTTACGTGGCTCGTGGCTTCAGTCAGCGGCAGGGGGTTGACTACTTTCAGACCTTCTCCCCCACCCCGAAGATGACCACTCTTCGGGTTCTGCTACACGTTGCTGCTCACCGTGACTACGAGCTGCACTCTCTCGACTTCAGCACAGCTTTCTTGCAGGGCAGCCTGCACGAGGAGATCTGGCTGCGTCGCCCACCTGGCTTCACTGGGTCTTTCCCTCCTGGTACCCAGTGGAGTCTCCGGCGTCCAGTCTACGGTCTCCGCCAGGCGCCACGTGAGTGGCACGACACACTGAGGACTACGCTCGCGGCACTTGGGTTTGCTCCTTCCACTGCCGACCCGTCGCTGTTTCTGCGCACCGACACCTCTCTGCCGCCGTTCTACATCCTCGTGTACGTCGACGACTTGGTCTTTGCCACAGCTGACACTGCTGGACTCGCCTACGTGAAGTCCGAGCTGCAGAAGAGACACACGTGCACTGACCTGGGTGAACTGCGCAGCTACCTTGGCTTGCAGATCACCCGGGACAGAGCACGCCGCACCATTACCCTGACTCAGTCACACATGGTGCAGCAGGTCCTTCAGCGCTTCGGCTTCACGTACTCCTCGCCTCAGGCCACTCCTCTGCCTACTCGCCACTCGCTCTCAGCTCTGCCTTCGGATGAGTCCGTAGAGTCGAGTGGCCCGTTTGCAGAGCTTGTTGGCTGCCTCATGTACCTGATGACCTGCACACGACCTGACCTCGCATACCCTCTTAGCATTCTCACACGCTTTGTTGCTCCTGGGAGACACCGACCAGAGCACATGGCTGCAGCGAAGAGGGTGTTGCGCTACTTGTGCAGTACGTCGGGCATGGGGCTAGTGCTTGGAGGGCGCAGTCCAGTGGTCCTCACTGGGCACGCAGACGCTTCTTGGGCTGACGACCAGGCTACGCAGCGGTCGTCACAGGGTTACACCTTCAGCCTTGGTTCCGGCTCTGTCTCGTGGCGGGCTACCCGCTCGTCTTCTGTTCTCGGGCTCCAGTTGTGAGGCTGAGATCTACGCTGGGGCCATGGCTGCACAGGAGTTACGCTGGCTCACCTACCTGCTGACCGACCTTGGAGAGCAGCCTCGTTCTCCTCCAGTCCTGTACGTAGACAACAAGGCCATGCTGGCCTTGTGTCGAGAGCAGCGACTGGAGCACAGAACGAAGCACATTGCTCTTCGCTACTTTCTTGCTCGTGAGCTACAGCAGCGTGGACAGCTGCGACTTGCGTACGTGGCCTCTGAGGCCAACACTGCTGATGTCTTCACCAAGGCACTTGCGCCTTGTGATCATCAGCGTTGCTGCACGCAGTTGGGTCTTGTGCCTGTATTGCCTCACTTGCTCTCCTCTTGACCTTGCTTGTACTTTCGCATATATATACTCTTGCTCTTGTATATCTCTATATATGATCTTGCATGTGAACTGGCCTTGTGGCCTTTGAACTTGTGCTCGGAATGCGTGGTGACTTTGTGATCCACCCTGAGCTTTGCTTTGCTTTGCTTGACCGGTCTTGTGACCCCTTGTTCTCCCCCACTTTGCCTATGGGGGTGTGTCAGAACTTATAGCTTACTTGTTTCTGTAGGCTATAGTGGGGTATCCCATAGGGGGTACAACCCAATTAGGGTCTCCTATTTGTACTCACCTCGTTCATAGTCATTCCACTTCTCGTTCGTACTTTCTCACCCTCAACCATCCCAATTACAAGACACAGCAAGCTTTTTTTCTAATGTATAAGATAAGACATATATGTCTTCTATCCGGGCGATGACGGTACGAGTGCAATTGAGTGAGCGAGCGAGAATTGCACTATCGAAGCAAGAGTACAATGAGCGAAGAATATATAGCGAAACTACAGTGGTAACGGTAATGGACTGTGGTTGTCGCGCGACGGGCCTGGGACTGAGGTTTGGGAAAATGTCGAAGCGGAGGTCCGGAGCGCGGGTTACCCGCCGAGCCGTGAGGTCGGGGTGCGATGTGCGAAAGTGGCGGGAGGTGTGAAGATAAGAGGTAATCGGTAGGAGCCATAGCTAGGAATAACCTAGCTAGGCAAGAAAGAAGTTAGGCAAAAGAGGGTTTGCACTAGCAAGCAAGGGGATACATATACGAAACCCTAAGGGGTTATACTCGCTATAGAGTACCCCACTGCAGGCTAGAGAACAAATATAACATTCTGACAGGAGGGTTGTCGATGCGAGAGTTTGCGAGTGGTAACGGTGCTAACTGTGGTGCTACAGTGGTGTACGCACTGAGCGTGGACGCAAAGTAAGGAAAAGGAAATTTCCTTACAGTGGCGCAGGAGTGAGTAGACGAAATACAGGATTTGTATCTGGCGGAGGGTCTAGGCGAATCAGAAACTGTACATAAGAAGTCTATGCTATGATGCAAGTCGCTACAACGTTTCATTACAGCAAACTGTACTGCGTGGGTTGTTGAAGTTAAAGTCTTACAAAACCACATTCAAACTAAACACTATTCTGCAGCCCAGGTCAAACCTCACAAATTCACATTCATTAGTTGTACAGAAGTAATAGAGTATTGCAAACCAAAGGCACATCTAAGCCAGGTACCAAATAATACAGGCATATCCAAACCCTGTTGCAAGCTAAAGCATCACAACAGAAACAGCTGCTACACACATTCTCATAACCTCAATCCACGATCAGCATACTACGTAATACATAAATAAACCAGCAGCACAGAGAGTCCAACAAAAGGTCAACCAGAGTCAACCGTTTCACATTCCCAGAGCGTCACTAGGACCTAGCAGCAGTGGCAGGAGCACCAGCACTGCCGCAGCTACCCATCCCCACTCACCCCCTTCCCTCCGCCCGGAACCTTCGGCATTACCTGGGGAAGGTCCTTCTGGTGCAGGCTCTCCTGCTACAAGGTCCGCAGACCCCCTTTTCCTCAATCCCAGTTGGTGGAAGGGGATGGGGAGAGCCAGTGTGGTGAGGGCTTTTCGAAACGAATCCAGAGGAGAGGTGGGGGAAGAGGGAGAGAGGGCGGCAGGAGACGCATCATCTGCTTTCAGGGACTGGGATTGGTCCGACCACCACCCGGATTCTTCTCCTCCCTTCCCGTCCTTCTCTTTCCCTCCCTTCTTTTTGTGGCCCGAAGAGGCACTAACCGGGGCAGCGTAAACGGGCAGCGATTGGAACGGCCAATGGGAGGCCGCCACGGAGGCGAGGGCGGTTTGGCGGGAGGCTCGGAGAGACGAGGCTTGGGACTGGAGGGTGGTAACCATAGCAACCAGTGTTGCTGTGTCTGAGAGTTCTCCTGTGTACTCTCCTGCTGTTGCTCCTGCTGCCGCTGTGACTGCGGCTGCTGCTGCTATTGTGACTGCTGCTGCTGCTTGCTGGAAGGAGAAAGCGGTGCTGCTTGGTTGTGTGGGGTGTTGGGTTGCCTTCTGGTGGAAGGAGGTGGGCAGAAAGAAACAGAAACGGAAGATGAAGAGCGTAGGGTGAGGTGTGGTGTGGCGACTGAAGCAAGGTGAATTGAGGTGAAGTGAGCTGTGTCTTGTAAGGAAGAAAGAATGGTAGAGGGAGAGGGAGAGGAAGAGGGAGAAGGACCCACCAAAGCACAAGAGCCAGTGCTGCTCTCATTACAAGTAGACTCGAAACACACACAAGAAAGACGCTTAGTAAGAGGGACCCACCAGAGCACCAAAGGAGGGAGAGCCTGCCCGAGAGCCACTGCTGCTTGCCTTCCCTTGAGCTGACGCTCCTCGTCCCCCTACCCCTCCTCCCCCACTGCCTGACCCTCCAGGGAAGTCATCATTGTCATCATCCTTCTTCTCCTCCTTCCCCTTTCCTGTTATCACGCCTTTCGAAGCAGCAGCACTAGCAGCTCCGTTACTAGAGGCATTGCTAGCAGCAGCAGCAGCATTTGAAGCAGTGAGCTCAGGAGCCTTGAGCACCCCAAGCCCTGCCCCCGACCGTTCGAATCCATTGACTTTTGACGAGCCAGGGACCTTCTTGATGCTGCTGGCCACTCGAGACGTCTCGTGGATCCTGCGACCACCACCAAAGCCACACTCGTCAGTATGGCCATTGACCACCACCACCACCACACTTCATCATCGTTACATCTTACGACCACTACCACTGTTGTCACAATGCATCTAAAAAACCGTGCAGGGCACAGATTTGAAGTGAGCCGGAAAGCAAAAAAAGAAAAGAAAAGAAAAGAAGGGAAAGCAAATCAAGGGAAAGCAAATCAAGGGAAAGCAAATCAAGGGCAAGCAAATCAAGGGCAAGCAAATCAAGGGCAAGCAAATCAAGGGCAAGCAAATCAAGGGCAAGTAAACATGGGTTTTCCCCCACATAGTTTTCTTTCAGCTCGATTGTCAGCAGCCGCAGCCTCTCCACATCATCCGTAGACTTCCCAGACTCACCACCAAACACCCATCTCTCTCACACCCTTCCCTTCCGTCAAAACAACCCCCCAACCTCCCACATATACGTACTTTTCTTTCAGCTCCATGGTCAGCAGCTGCAGCCGCTCCACTGCATCCGTAGACTTGCCAGACTCCTTGCTCGCCCGCACCAACTCCCCCTGCAGCAACCCCACCTGGTGCCAACTCACCCTCATACCACAATACAAACCTTTCAACCCTTACAGCACTTACTTTTCTTTCAGCTCCATTGTTAGCAGCTGCAGCCTCTCCACAGCATCTGTAGACTTGCCGGACTCCTTGCTCGCCCGCACCAACTCCCCCTGCAGCAGCCCCACCTGGTGCGACAACCCCTCCACTTTCTTAAAAGTCTCTTTTAGCGCGCTCTTACTCGCGCCCTCCCTCTCCCTCAGCTCCACAGCCTGACGCAGGAAGAACCCCACCCGGTCCTGCGACGACTGAAGTTTCTCCCGGGCTGCACGCTCCTTGCTTTCCAGCTGCCCGACCTGCGCCGCAAGCTCCCGCACCCGGGCCTTTTCCGCCTCCGCTTCTGCCCGCGCTGCCCGTTCGCGCTTCTCCAACGCTCGAATCTCCACCTCTAAAGCCGCCACTCTGTGTTTCGAGCTCGACCCTTCCCCTTTCCCTCCTCCTGAACCCCCCTGGGACCGAGACACAGCGTCAGCAGCAGCAGTCCCCTTCAGCCGAGCCACCTGCCGCATGAGGAACGCACTCCGTTCGCTCGCAGCAGCAGCGGCGTTGCGGGCCCCTTCAAGCTCACTGGACATGGCAGCCACTTGCGACTGCAGGCGGGCTATCAGCTGATCTGCTGCACCGCTCGCTGCTGCACCGGCAGCACTGCTGGCACCACCAGCAGCAGCAACAGCGGAAACAGCTCCAGCTGCTGCAGCTGCAGCAGTCTTCTGAGGCGTCTCCATGAGGGTATACTCTCGGTCTTTCGTCTCGGCAGCAGCCAGAGCAGCAGCTAGTACCGCCTCTGCCTCCTCAGCCTCCCTCTTGGCTTTCCGCTCCCTCTCCTCCGCCACCCCCACCTGCTCCTCCAGCTCCTTAATCCTCTTCTCCGCCGCCCCAATCGCCGCCCGGCTCTCCTCCACCACCCGCTCCCTCTCCGCCACCTCAGCAGCCACCGCCGCCAGCCTGGCATCCCTTTCCGCCATGTCATCTCTTGCCGCCGCCAGCTCAGCACCCAGCCTCTCCAACTGCGCCTGCAGCATCCTCTCTCTCTCCTCCGCCGCACTCAACTCCTCCCTAGCAGCCATCAGCCTGTGCTCATCACTCTCATGCAAGAACACCTTCGCAGCATCCACCGCTTCTCGCTTCACCTCCATTTTCAGCCCCTCCACCTGCTGCACCTGCCGCGTCAGCAGCTCAATCCGCTCGCTCGCCACCGCCCACGCCTCTCGCATCAACTCGTCCTTCCTCCGGAGGTTCTCCGCTTCAGTCACAGCAGCTTCAAGCCGGTCTGTCGCAGCGTGCATAGCTTCTTTCGCTGCCCTCTCCCTATCCCGGAGCCCTCTCATCACCCGGAAGAAAAATTTCACTCGCTCGTTGGCCGCTCCCAGCGCCTCCTGGGCCTTCCTCGCTTCTTTTTCTGCCCGTTCTGCCCGGTCTTCCAGTTTCACCATCAGGTCGTGATCCGCCGCCGATTTCTCGGAAGCCTCCTCCAGCCGCGTCTCCATCTCGCCCATCCGTGCGGAGGCCGCGCGCTCCTTCTCAGAAAGTTCCTTCACCTGTTCGGCAAGTGCTTGCATTCGCTCCAAAGCCACCGCCGCTGCTTCCTTTGCTGCTGCTTCCATTTCTTCCATCTGCGCGATTCTGTTAGCTAAGTCAGCCGCCCGCTCCTCTGCTGCCTGTGCTTTCGCCTCTGCTGCTTCGTGGGCCGATAAAAGCTCCCTCTCTCGCTCCTGAAGGAGGGAAAGCTCCTGGGAAACTTCCGTGAGCTGGGAATGGAGTGCCGATTCTCGCTCCGCTGCTGCTGCTGCGGCTGCTTCGGCCTCGGCTGCTGCTGCAGCCACTGCTGCCGCCGTTGCTTCTGCCGACGCCGCCGCTGCAGCAGCAGCAGCTGCAGAATCTACTCCCAGGAACGCAGCAGCCTGCAACTCCTGCTGTTCCCTCTGCTCCTGCTGCTCCTTCTCACGCTGCTGCCTTTCTTCCTCCTCCTGCTGCTGTTGCTGCTGCTGGAAGAGGTTGAGGGCTTCGACCTGGGCGGTGAGCAGGGCTATGCGCTCGTGTGCTGCTGCTGCCTCCATGCGCGCTGCAGTCTCGCTCTCCCTCAGCTCGCTCACGTGCTGCATGAAGAATCGCACCTGCATAGAGGGAGGAGGGCGGAGCGGAAAGGGAGAGGGAAAAGGGCAAGGTTAACAGGTGTCGTTGCTGCCGCTGCTGTCTCGCTCACCCTCAGCTCGCTCACGTGCTGCATGAAGAATCGCTCCTGGGAGGCAGGAAGAAGGAAGAGGGGGGAAGGGAGGAATGACAGAAGTGAGTTAAAGGGGTGGGGCAGTAGTTGCGATGTAAAGGATTGTACATATACGAATATGTATGTGTATCTGCATATGCATAGGTCATGGATGCACAACACCTGTTCTGTAGCGGACCTAGCAGCAGCCATGGCCGCTAGGTGCTTGAGTCGACTCGCTATAAGCATACACAAAAAAAGGAATCTGTATGTGCACGGATTTTCTCCCCGTACCTGTTCTGTGGCAGACCGAGCAGCAGCCATGGCCGCCAGGTGCTTCTGCTCCAGCAGTGCAATGCGCTCCTCCACTCCAGATGACACCTCCCCCACAACACCCTCCCCGTCCAGAACAACCTCCCCTAGTACACCCTCCTCAAAAGCAGGAGGCGCGTCAGCGGGAGGCGGGGCAGCGAGGGGCCATGCGTGAGAGTGGTGGTCGTTGACAAAGGAGTAGACGGAATCAAGGATGTGCGGCTGCTGCTGTGAGGGGAGGGGACAGGGTGGAGGGGGGTAACAACAATAGGAGTGAAGGGATGCAAATGCAGTGAGGGGCAATGAGAGGTGGCAGAGAGGGCCATGCATGGGAGGGGGATCGTTGACGAATGAGTAGACTGAGTCGAGGATGTGTGGCTGCTGCTATGGGGGAGGGGAAGGGAGGGCATGTGGGAAGGAGTGAGTAGTAGGACGGGGAGTGCTTGGGATGAGAGGGAGAGGAGCAGCGAGGGGGCGTGAGAGAGAGTGAGGATGCCATACATATTTGAATAAGGAAGCCAGGAGGCAGGCAGGTACCTGGAAGGGCGTATCCAGGGGAGGCGCTATCTGCGAGTCCACCACAGGAGAGAAACTCTGCGCCTCCCTCGGCTGCACCTCCCGTGGCTTGGGGGAAGACGCCTGGCGAGATGCTGCCTTGGGGAGCGACTGGGAGATGGCCACATCAGCATACACCCTGTGCTGCAGAGAGGTAGGAGGTACCTGGAAGGGCGTTTCCAGTGGAGGCGCCATCTGCGAGTCCACCACAGGAGAGAAGCTCTGCGCCTCCCTCGGCTGCACCTCCCGTGGCTTGGGGGATGACGCCTGGCGAGATGCCGCCTTGGAGAGCGACTGCGAGATGGTGACGTCAGCGGACACCCTGTGCTGGAGAGTCTCTGTGATGAGTCGCCTCTGCGCCTCCTCCCAGTCGTCCCTTGCCGTCTGCCCCCCGCCCTCCGCGCCCGCGCCCTGCTCGATGCGCCGCTGGTACTGCTCCTCTGCTAGCTCCGTCATTCGGTGCGCGCCCACCCCGTCTGCTGCTGACAGCACCAGACGAGCCTGGGTGATACCGGAGGAAGGAGGGGGAGAGAGGGAAGGGGTAGGGGGTTGAAGCATGGTGTATCGCCCGCGCCCTGCTCTATGCGCCGCTGGTAATGCTCCTCTGCTAGCTCTGTCATCCTGTGTGCGCCCACCCCGTCCGCTGCTGACAGCACCAGCCGGGCCTGGGAGAGGCAGGCAGGGAATGGGGGAGGGGAGACAGGGGAAGTAGGCGGGAAGAGTGCTTAAGGGGAAGGTGCGCCCTGCTCTATGCGCCGCTGGTACTTCTCCTCTTCTAGTTCTGTCATCCTGTGTGCGCCCACCACGTCCGCTGCTGACAGCACCAGACGAGCCTGGGCGAGGCAGGGAATAGGGGAGCGGGGAGGAGAGGGGGAAAATGGGGGAATGGGTGGATGGGGTGAGAGGATGAGGCATGGTGTATCGCCCGCGCCCTGCTCTATGCGGCGCTGGTACTGCTCCTCTGCTAGCTCTGTCATCCTGTGCGCGCCCACCCCGTCCGCTGCTGAGAGCACCAGCCGGGCCTGGGCGAGACAGGGAATTGGGGGAGGGGAGAGAGGGGAATCGAGTGAGAGGAGTACTAAAGGGGAAGGTGCGTGTTTTTTGAGAATTCTCAAAAAACAAGGAGTACTAAAGGGGAAGGCGCGCCCAGCTATATGCGGCGCTGGTACTGCTCCTCTGGCAGCTCCGTCATCCTGTCCCGACCTTTTGTGCGGGCCCACCCCGTCCGCTGCTGACAGCACGAGCTGAGCCTAACACATGCAAACTCCTACGGAACCCATTTCCCCTCACCTGGACCATCCTTCTTGAGCAGAACAGTGAGCGCAACTCTGCCAGCAATCATAGCTCTGTTCCGTGCTGTCAACGATCATCATGGCCGAAGCTTCCTCCGCTCCATTCCCTCTCAACACAGCACTAGCATACGTTTTTCCTGCGCCCATTTCCCCCTCACCTGCTCCCACGCCTAATGCGACTGGTCGGCGGACAGCACGCTGTCAACGATCATAGCCTTGGCCTGTTACTCCCACACTTCACTACCCTCTCCGCACCGCACTCGCACTAGCACATGTTTTCCATTCCCCGATTTCCCCTCGCCGACCACACCGCTCTTGTCTTCTTCTCACCTGCTCCCACGCCTCGTGCGACGGGTCGGCGGACGGCACGCTGTCAACGATCATGGCCTTGGCTTCGCTCCACGCGAGGCCCTGGAAGAACGTCAGGTAGCTGCGTTGGGGAGAGAGCGAGAAGAGTGGAAGAAAAGAAGGGGGAGAGACGGGTGGGATGGGAGAGAGGAGCGTGAGCGCTAGACCAGGGTCGATCTGACTCAACAGCACGCTGTCAACGATCATGGCCTTGGCCTCGCTCCATGCCAGGCCCTGGAAGAACGGAACGTCAGATAGCTGGGTGCGGGAGAGACAAGAGGGCGTGGGGGGGGAAGGGAGGAGTGTGAGAACTACCATACAGACCCTATCCAGCTTATAAGCCAAGCAGCACCGCACTCAACCGAGCACGACCGGCGGGCAGCCCTGTGCTTTACTGTCGCTCATGCCACCTGTCGGAGCACCGAACCACATTCTACCCAGCAATACTACACGCAACCTAACCTAGGATAGCAGAACCACTCTGAACCACACAGTACCACGTTTACTCACCCGAGCACGACCAGCGGGCTGCAGTTCTTCCCTGTAGCGCATGCCACGTGGACCCTGTGACCTGTCACCAGCAGCGACGCCAGGAGACGCACCGCCTCCACCATACCAGCAACCTGCAATTCCGACAAAAAAGAGGAAGAAAATAAAAAACAAACCATTGTTTTGAGCCGTAATAAATCAAACAAAAAGTTTTGTCACTGCATCTCTGTTCTAGATGTAGAGTTGTGTGTATCGCATCAATTCCTTCATAATATGTTGCAAAAGGTTACAACTTGTTGAACAAAAAGTAGTGTCAATTTCTCACATTGGTTCTTACTCGGGTTACCTGTTTCTGCTGGTCGAATTCCGGCACGGGAACGCGGAACATGGCGACGTCGCACTGCTCCGCCTGCTCCTGAACGGCCTTCCAGTTAACTCCGAACGACTCCAAGGACTCCTCGCCCTGCCACGTACGGACGGGAGAAGAGCGAGGAGAGAGAGGAGTGAGATGGAACACTGCTGGTGGAACACTGCTGGTTGAGTGGAGTGGACTCGAAATGAAGCAGCATGGCAAAACGCTTATTTCCGTTCGCTAATTACGACAAACCAGTCAACTACGAGAGTGACTCCATAGACTCCTCGCCGCGCCATGGATGGGGAAGAGAAGGACGAATGCGGAACACGGCGACATGTTGGAGAAAGAGCACTTTCAACATGGTCAATTCACTCGACAAAAAAGGAACCGTAACAACATCGTTTTCGTCCTCCTGAGCATAATCACTTTTGAGTTTTCCCAAGAATCTTTGTGCAGCTTTTATTAAACGCCAAAATCTGTTGTTAGTATCCCGTTAAGTCGTCCTATGTTAGGGCGTCTTAGCGCGCATCGTTTTGCCAGCTCCTGAACTTACACCATTGCACGCTGAAAGCATCTACTGATTATACGCCTCGAGAGGCTGCAGACGCTTAGTACGCAATAAGAAGCAATGGATGAGCGGTCAGTTCATGCGTTTCCAAGACTGCTGCGGCTGCGGGCGTTGCCCAAACCACAGCCGACCGACTACTCTCGATTGCTTGGAAAACCAATCCCAAGGTCGAAAACGAATGATGAAATGAAGGTCGACAATACGCGTGAGAAAAGTACAGTTCGCATACCAAACAAAAAGCAAAAGCATACATAAAGAAAAAGAATGCAAGTGAAGTGAAGCATCGGGACGCTGATGTCGCACATGCTCAAGAAAATCAGGGTTTGGATTCTTAGACAACTGCAACAATTCCTTTTTGCAACCACCCGTCTGTAACACACATCTGTAACCATACAGAAATAACCACAGCATGTAAGTAATCGGTGTTCCTGCGAACCTACCCCCGCTACAGTCACACACCTGCAAGCATAGAATGGCGGTGCAAGTTGTCGCCTGAGTGAGCATCGTGACGTCCTCGGGCCCGGCAATTCCGGAGCCCACCGATACGCCAGTCGCGAGCGTGATGTGCGTCCACGTCAGCGGCCAGTCAGCCTGCATGCACACCACATCCTCGTCGATAGGACCTGCCGGAACCGAGGGAGGAAGGAGAGGGGAGAAAGGAGAGGGAAGAGAGGAATGGGGAGGTGAGGGGGGGGAAGGAGGGGGGAAGGGGGGAGGAGGGAACCGTGTGGAGCGGAGAGAAGGCGAGGGGGAAGTAAGGGCGACGCGGAACGGAGGCTCCGCCTAGATGCACAGCACCTTTTACAAAAAAAACAAAAACAAAAACAAAACGGAAAGAGAGGGGGGGTGGGGGTGGGGATGGGGGGGGGAGGGAGGGGGAGAAGAGGGGAATGCGAGAGAAGAGGGGTGCGGGGAGCAGGGAAGTGGGACCGCGGGTGTGAAAGCAATGTGGGAATAGGGAAAGAGGCAGCCCGGATAAGAGAATACAGAAAAAATCGAATGCGGTTATCGGCGAGGGTGAGAGGGGGTGGCGGTGCGGGTTCAAGGGGGAAAGAAAGGGCGGAAGAAGGAAAGGAGGGGAGAGCTGGTGGGAGATGGGAAGAGGGGCGATACGGGGATATGCGTATGTACAGTCTCATGTCTCTCCTCCGTGACCCCATTCACGTCCACGGACCTCCATTCCCCCAACCTTCTCCCTTTTCCCACCTTCCTTTTCCATACGTACTTTCCCCCTCTAACCCTGAATTGGCGAACTTCGCCTGGCGTACCTTCCGACTTATAAATATCACGAATCGGCGTGCTTGCTTTCAGCACGCGCGGCTTCATCCCCCCGGCGGTCGCGCGCATTATCCCCCTTGCATCCCCTCCCGCAAGATCCTCTTCCGCGTGCGCGCAGGAGTGGATGTGCTGTAGCATTCGCACTTGGTCCACCATCACACTGTTCTCCGCCGAAAATGTGAACTCATGAGGATTCGAACCCTCGTCTCCAGAACCCGAAGAATCGCCACTTGACCCAACAAAGTCCCAATTATCGGGTTTTTCTTCCGCCTGCTGCTCCACCGCCAAATTCTCGCTGCGCGCCGAGCCCCTCTGCCCGCGCCTCCACCGGAGCCCGTCCGGTCCGCGCGAATTCTCCCCCTCCCCTTCACTCAGCTCGCCGGGAGAAGGACACCCAGGCACTAACACATCGCATTTAAGGCCGTCTCCGCGGCCGCGCCTCCCCGACCGCGACGGTACGAGCACGCTAGGAACGTGCCGCCTGTGTGGCCGCGTGAACGGTGCGCGCATGTAAACGATCCGCGAGCGCGGGCAGAGAAAGCCGGGGCCGCGTCGTTGGCTGTGGTGGTGCTGCGCCTTCGGCACGGCGGACGACACGTAAGCTGAAGCCGCGAGGGAGGAGTTGGCGGTGGAAGCGGTAGAAATGGCGGTCGCGTGTGTACGCGCTTGTGCCTTCCATGCTGGTGTTACGCTGGCCTCCATTGGCACGAACGATTAGCTTTAGTAAATAATGTTGCTTATTATGTGTTTCACCGTAAACCTTAGGTCGCGCCTAGGGTTGTTGGGTTGACGGGTTCGCAACTACTCGAAGCGGAGCGAAGCTTGTAGTGGAGGGACGGAAAGAAACACAGCCGAGTTGCTTGTTACTGCCTGAATGTCCTCTTTATCACCTTTCCCGCCAACCCTTGCACCGAGTTTTTAGTGAGGGAATAAATGCACGAATGTTTCGTCAACCTACGTAGCTTCATCAACCAGCATCTCTAGAGTGCAGCAGCAGCAGCAGCCACACGAAACCCTAGTCCGTCATGAGCAGGCGGTGGGAGTCCAGCGCGATTGATGCCAACCCAGCCAACACACAGCAACTATTTCATTGACCGACCCGCGGTCTACGGTGGTACTGACAGTTACAAGACGGTTTGAGAGGGTCTATGGTAGGGTGCCTCGACTTCACCAATATTTCCCGTCACGCGGCTTGAATAAAGTCCACATTGCTGGCCACTTTCATTCCCTTACCTGCGGAGATTTGACGTGGCTGAAGTGGCGGTCTCGTCACCACAAATAGAAATCCACGATTTGTCCAAGTGCAGGACCAGAAACCTGCCCAACGGACACCCCACTGCCCAGACGCTGGAGTCAAAATTGCTTCCAACCACTGTTTTCAAGCCACCAGTTCTTGCTGACGAGGATTGAGCAGAAAAGCGATGTCCGCGACTCGAGAGCGGATATGGACTGTACCACTTTGCTGTGAACGAGAACTGTTTCGGATCAGAATTTGCCGCACCACCTCACATTTCCAGCCACTCTGCTGGAGTTGCGAAAGAACAGCACAGCAGAGAATTGTGGTGTAACCAGTCTAGTTACATCTCTGAGATGTTGTTTGCTTATAATAATTTAGCAAGACGTGAAGCGCAACACTCCCAAAGAAATGCCACTTTGTGCAGCTTGAATGAGCAGTTCCAAGCAAGTTTTTTTCCAAGCAAGTTTTATAATCATATTCATTTACAGCCCTTTTATCACCTTTCTCTGCGCAACAATCTGTGGCCAGTTGAGTCTCCAAAGTACAGCCTAAAACCTTTTCCAACACACTTGTAGTGTCAGTTTAGCCTTCCCTATTCCACAAGGCACATCCCAACAGAAATGCAGGCCTGAAAAGCTTCACTTCATCATCTTCCTCAGAGCAAACTTCTGCTGCCGCTTCAACTCCAGCCGCAGCTCATTCTTCTTGCGGTTCCACTTCCCCTCCTCCGCCTCCCACTTGAGGAAGCTTCCTCCCATGTCCATCAGAAGCTTCTCCATATCACCTGCCCCTCTCGCTTCCTCCAAAGCCAACAGGTCAGGTATACCTCCCCCAGATGAGCCTCCTCCCTCCCCCTCTCCTGCACCCCCATCCAACCTTCCTCCCCTTCCACCCATTCCCCTCCCCCTCCCAAACAACCCTCCTCTCCCCCCTCTCCATCCTCTTCCCCCACCGTCCCCTCTCCCCGCAATCCCACCACCAGCAGCAGCACCAAGACCAACCCCAGCAGCACCAGCACCATTGAAGCCAGTTGTTACAGTTGTTACAGGCGCTACCAGCTCTGCCCCAAACAACGACCCCCCTTCCCTCCTCCCACCTCGTCCCGCCTCCGTCTCCCGTCTCCCTCCGTCCTGCTGTCCCTCTCCACCTCGAGGCACCTCCCCCTTCCCATCCTCCCCACCTCCACCTTCCTTCGTCCCACCTCCCTCCTCCTGTGCCTCACTGCCCTTCAGTTCACCCAGAACCGGTTTGAGGGAGAAGGAGAGTTTGCCATCAGCACTGGTGAGCGATTTCCATGTGAACTTCTGCACCCACGCACTGCCCACTTGCTCCTGCCTCTCCGCCAAACCCCCACTCGCTGCTGCTGCTGCTGCTGCATCGGCAGCAGCCCCACCAGCACTAGCAGCAGCAACACCAGTGCCACCACCACCACCACCAACAGCAGCAGCAGCACTGCCAGCACCATCACTAGCTGGCTTTGCTTCCAGCCCTTCTGTCTTCTGGCGCTTTCCCCCTTTCCCCCCCTCACTAGGCCCCTCCAATGCCCCTTTCCTCTTCCCTCCCCCACCACTGACACCACCATCTGTCACAGAGCCCTTCCTCCCATCTTCCTTCCCCTTCCCCTCCCCAGCTCCAAGACCCTCCCCAGCAGCCAAAGCAAATAGACTGTCCCACGAAGGCACTTCTGCCCCCTTTCTTGTGCTCTTATCACTCCCCTTGCCTTCCCCTTCCTCCTCCTCCTCCTCCTCCTCCTCCTCCTCCTCCTCCTCCTCCTCCTCCTCCTCCTCCTCCTCCTCCTCCTCCTCCTCCTCCTCCTCCTCCTCCTCCTCCTCCTCCTCCTCCTCTTCCTCTTCCCCCTCCCCTGATGTCTCCTCTTCCTCCCCTTCTTCCTCACCTTCCTCCACATCCTCCTCCTCCTCCTCACTCCCCTCACCTTCCTCCTCCTCCCCTTCATCTACTCCCTTATCCTCACTCCCTGCTCCACCCTCCTCACCCTCCTCCTCTCCTTCACTCTCTGCCTCTCCCATGCCCGCCTCCTCTTCCTCGCCCTCCAACTTTTCCTTCCCCTCTTCCTCTCCCTCACCTTCCTCCTCTCCTCCCCCCTTCTCCTCTATCTCTCCCTCCTCATCCCCCTCACCCTCCTCCTCTATCTCTCCCTCTCCCTCACCTTCCTCCTCTCCTCCCCCCTTCTCCTCTATCTCTCCCTCCTCATCCCCCTCACCCTCCTCCTCTATCTCTCCCTCCTCTCCCTCACCCTCCTCCACTATCTCGCCCTCCACTCCCTCCCCCTCCCCCTCCCCCTCCTCTGCACCCCCCTCCTTCATTTCCATCTCCTCCTCCCCTCGCTCCTCTCCTGCTCTCATTACCTTTATCCTCTTGACTTCTTTCTCCTCCTCCCCTACTTCTTCCTCACCCTCCTCACTCTCCTCACCCTCCTCACTCTCCTCACCCTCCTCACTCTTCTCCAACTCATCTTCTTCCAATATATCCTCTTCCATGCTCTCTCCCTCCAGATTTGACCTTCCCCAATTTTTCTGCCATCTCTCATTCCCCTCTTCCCCATTACCCTCCTCTACACCCCCTTCCTCCTCTTCCTCCTCTTCCTCCTCTTCCTCCTCTTCCTCCCCTTCATCCTCCTCCTCCTCCTCCTCCTCCTCCTCCTCCTCCTCCTCCTCCTCCTCCTCCTCCTCCTCCTCCTCCTCCTCCTCCTCCTCCTCCTCCTCCTCCTCCTCCTCATCCTCATCCTCCTCCTCCTCCTCCTCCTCCTCCTCCTCCTCCTCCTCCTCCTCCTCCTCCTCCTCCTCCTCCTCCTCCTCCTCCTCCTCCTCCTCCTCCTCCTCCTCCTCCTCCTCCTCCTCCTCCTCCTCCTCCTCCTCCACATCACACGAAGCAACAGCAAACAGCCTGTCCCATCGCGACCCCCCCTCCCCTGTCTTCTCAACTTGTTCCTTCTTCTCACTCCCCACCACTTTCTCCCCAAACACTTTTCCTTCCACCACCACCTCTTTTACACCTTTCTCCCTACCAACTTTCTCTTCTACCCCTTTCATCCCTGCTAATTTCTGCCCCCACTTACCCTCTGCTGCACCATCCGTGCCCCCAACTAACACACCACTCACACCACCCACACCGCCCACACCAGTTGCACCTCCTGTGCCTGCCACAGCCCTAGACCTCGTTTCCTGCACCACCTTACTACTGATATTCTCATTCCCTTTGCTTCCTTTGCCTTCTTTGCTGCCTGTGCTGCCTTTGCTCGGCCCACTCCATGTCAGATTGATGTTCATCCCATCATCCTCCTCCTCTTCCTCCTCATCCTCCTCCTCTTCCTCCTCATCCTTTTCCTCTTCCTCTTCCCCTTCCTCTTCCGCTTCCCCCTCTTCCGCCTCTTCCCCAACTCGCCTCTCGCTCATCACCACATCACCATCTCCCCCCCCCATCTCACTCCCCTTCCGCCCACCACTCTCACTCCCATCCCTTCCCTCTGCGCCCTTCTCCGCCCTATCTCCCTTACTCCCCGCAACGCCCATCCCTCCCCCCTCCACCTTCCCCCCCTCCGCCTCCGCCCCTTCCCCTTCCATAATCAGGAACCGTTGCAGCAGTTGCCTCTGCATCTCCCTTTCTCTCTCCAACCCCTCATCCTCCTCCCCCCCCTCCTTCCCCTCCTCATGCTCCTCCCACTGCTGCTGCTCCCCAAAACCAGCATACCCTTCAGCACCCTCCCCTCCTCCACCCTTCCTTCTCTCTTGCCCTCCCCCCACAGCAGCAGCAGCAGCAGCAGCAGCAGCAGCAGCAGCAGCAGCAGCAGCAGCAGAAGCAACACCAGCACGAGCAGCAACCGCAGCAGCAGAAGCACGAGCAGCACCATCATCACCATCCTCATCAGGAGCAGCAGCAGCAACAGCGGTGGCAGCAGCGGCGCGGGCAAGAACAGCGGAGAGGGAGGGCTCGAATGCAAGCCGCTGGAAGCTCAGCTTGTGCCGCCCACACCCCGGCCCGCCCGCTGCCGGCATGCGCCGCGTCTGAGGAGGGGGGGAACAGAGGGGTTCAGAGGGGTTGAGAGGGGTTGAGAGGGATTGAGAGGGGTTGACAAGGAGATGTTGACAGCCTTATCAAGCTGTCTCAGAAAGCAGGTGGAAGCTCAGCTTGTGCCGCCCACACCCCGGCCCAATTTGCTGGCATGCGCTGCATCTGAGGGGGATTTAGAGAGAGAGGGGATTGAGAGAGAGAGGGGATTGAGAGAGAGAGAGGGGATTGAGAGAGAGAGGGGATTGAGAGAGAGAGGGGATTGAGAGAGAGAGGGGATTGAGAGAGAGAGGGGATTGAGAGAGAGGGGATTTAGAGAGAGAGGGGTTTTGAGAGTCTCAACAGGGCTTAAACACCCACGGGGCGAGACAGTGAGTGAGTGGGGGAGAAAGGGGCGAATGAGGGGCAAGACTGACAGAGCCAGTTACCTTCTTGCCTCCGCGCCATGCCAGGTTCATGGGCTCCAGCTCCCGTGTCTTGAGTGCACGGGTTCATGGGTTCATGGGTTCATGGGTTCATGGGTTCATGGGTTCATGGGTTCATGGGCGGCTACCTCCTCTGGGCTCAAGGGTGAATTGAGAATGAGGGGTTGAGGGAGTGAGGGGTGAGGGAGTGAGGGAGTGAGGGAGTGAGGGAGACAAGAAGGCAGGCACGTACCTTCTTCCCTCCGCGCCAAGCCAGGTTCATCGGCTCTAGCTTCCGTGCCTTCAATGCAGCTACCTCCACCGGGCTCAAACACCCACTGGCAGAGGCCTGCATAACCCGGTTACCACCACCGCTTCGCTCCGCCTCCGCCCTCGCCCTCGCTTCTGCCTCCTCCTCGGCCTCCTGCCTCTCCCTCTCGCTCCGCTCCTTGGCGTTGTGCTCGAGAAAACTCTCCCTTGCTGCTTCCACGCGCATCCTGCCCCCCTTCCACATGCACCCGTTGTACTGCGCACATGTAACATGTAGGGGGATGGGGAGAAGTGAAAACAAGAGAGGGGGTATATGGACTTCCTGCTCGAGGAAACTCTCCCTTGCTGCTTCCACGCGCATCCTTCCCCCCTTCCTCATGCACCCGTTGTACTGTGCGGGTAGGGGGAAAGAAAGGCGGGGGAGGTAAAGGGAGGGAGGGTTTGAATTGAAGTGCAGGTTCGGACTCAAGGGGCCTCTCCTCGGCCTCCTCCCTCTCTCCCTCTCCCTCTCCCTCTCGCTCCGCTCCTTGGCGTTCTGCTCGAGAAAAATCTTCCTTGCTGCTTCCACGCGCATCCTTCCCCCCTTCCACATGCACCCGTTGTACTGCGGGAGTGGGGGAATGGAGAGAAGTGAAAACAAGAGGAGGGGCATACGGACTTCGTGCTCGAGAAAACATGTGTAGATAGGTTATTTTTGAGACGTCTCAAAAGTATACGGACTTCCTGCTTGAGAAAAATCTCCTTTGTTGCTTCCTACGTTTTTTGGGAATTCTCAAAAAAACATACGGCGCATCCGCCCCAACTATCCCATGCGCCCGTTGTATTGGGGGGGTTTCGGAAGGGTTGGGGAAAAAGGAAAAAGGAGGCGGGTTATGGGGTTTTCCCGCGGCTTCCTCCCTTCCATTTGCAAACATTGTACGGCTCGGGGCCGGCGGTAAGTGGGGGAGGGGGTGGGGGGAAGGGAGGTTGAGGGGGGAAGAGAGTGCGGGTTGGGGGAGAATAAAAGGTGGACGGCAACGCGCATAAGGGGATGGATGAGTGACTATATGCGGTAACGGATCGGTGATAACGCGTACAATATATGACGAGAGACCCACCAGCGACAAGCATTGGTGCAAGGCCTTGGCGGACTTGGGAACCATGTCCACGTAAGCAAAGCCACGGCACACTGCCACGTGGCTGCACTGCCGATCGGCTTCATCTCCGTTCGCCTCTTGAAATGGACGGCCAGGATCTGTTTGCAGCGAGGGAGGCGCCGCGAAGGACGCGGGGAGCAATTGGTGCGACTTGGCAAGAATCACGTTGACTTCGTTGACCTGCCCGAACGGCTGGAATCTTCCTCGAACTTCATCTTCTGAGACGTTCCCGGGCAGCCCGCCGACAAATAATCTCACGCGGACGGGCAATGCGTCGCGTTCAGGTGGAACCGTTTCCATACGGGCAGCTAATGAGTCCTTTCTAAGCGCTTCATTACCAGAAGGAGTTGCGTCTGAATTAGCACGTGACGTATTTTCGCGTGACGAAGACGCGAATATCGGCATCGCCGGAACTATGCTAGCTTGAAAATAATTCTAGAGGCGTCTCAATAAACGGTACTAGTGCGATTCGGAATGCTTGGAGAGTTTTAGGGGAAATCTTATAAAACCTCTGGGTGTTGGGTGTTGGATGTCGGGTAGGCTCAGCGCTTTCTCGTTCCCGCACCTTTCCGGTATAAGGTGCAGTTCATTATTGTAAACCGCGACCTAAATATTTACTGACTCGGCTCTGGTCACCTCGTTAGGCGAGCTGTAACCTGACTCATCGCCTATTTCGCCAAACTATCTCGCCACACAAGAGCCACAAGATGCTATGCCTGTAAGAGCGTGGAAGATCCCTGTGAACAAGGCATTGGTCGCGCAGTTGCGACAGTAACACATGTTGCGACTCTCTCTCAATTTGCTCCGAGTGTTTGACGAACTCAGAGCTCTTCGCTTGAGAGCGACCAAGGCCCCTTCCGAAACCTTAAAGCCTCTCTGATTTGCAATGTGGGGTTTCTGTGTTACCCTGCGAAAGATGTCGCAAGCCATTGACGAGGCCAGATGTTCGACCGCAGGAGTAACCAAACACATGTTCGTAGCGATCTTCCACGCCCTAATTCCTAGGAGCCAGCAGACAATTCCCAAGAATACCTGCCACTCTTCTCGATCTCGAACATATCACATTACGCTCACAGCTGAGTAGTTCATGGCGGTTGTCGGTTTTGGAAAGCAGTGATTGTAAATTGGGAGAGCTGTGATTGTAGAATTTCGCTATGCCGCGTAGCTAGGCCAGTCCGCGTTCACGGGTCAGTAGGGTGTGAACTTGAAGTCTGGTGTCTCAATAAGGATGTTATTTGGTCGGGTATGTCCTTTAATTCGACTGAGAAACCACCACTGGAACGCCCGTGCGTATCGTAGCGGCAGGAGCCTCGGATCATTTATCCGATCCAGCGCCAGAGAAGCCGCTTGTTATCTTTAGAAGATAAGTACAGCTACAGAAGGTTTTGCAACGCACGGCGGTATGTTACAGACGAGGATGTACAGCCTTCGCGATTTGCGGACAGCAGTCTGGTTCCGTCCGTCAACACATCGTAAAAAACACGGCAATTCCTTCTTATCATTCCACAGCCGTTCCATCAGCCCGATCCTCCTCTCCCTCTCCCTCCTCTTCTCCGTCACTCTCTCCCCTTCCCATCTCGCGTTAGGAGAATCAAATCTGCAAACGGCTTCGGACAGCAGCAGCAGCAGCAGCAGCACCACCACCACCACCACCACAACCGGCACCACCAGCAGCGGCAGCAGCAGGGGGGAAAACCATGACAGCATGCTGCTCCTGGGACGAGTGAACCAATTCGAGAAGGAGCTTACCGTTCAGCTGCATCAGAGCACCACCACGGATCCGATCAAACCTACGGACCAAAAGTCAACCAAGTCAACTCAGTCAACCAAGTCAACCCAGTCAACGGAGCAGAGCAGTTTGAAAGCAAAGACCAGCCCTAAACGGAAACCGCGTCCGATTATAATGAGTAAAACCGGCGTAGAGCTAAACAACCCCAACCTCCCAATCCCGGTCATTCCAGAAGGTTCACCCTTTCTCCCCTCCTTCCCAGACGCCATACTCGATACAACCACTCTCAATACAAGCATAACCCGAAGCCACTTAGCCAACGCGTTTCTAGAATACTTCAAATTTCACATCCCTGAAAAGGAGGTCCGGCTGCAGTGCACCGGCGGATCCTGTCCGAACCTCGCTCCCTGCGGCCCGGCGTTCCCAAACCTGCGAGCCTGCCACCGAACCGACATAGTGGCGCCGATCCACATCGACCCCGGACCTCCGGAGAACTGTCCGAAGCTGGAGAATTGGGACGAGGTTGGGGCAAATGGCGCAGATTTGAGATGTTCGCAAGCGGGGGACTATGTGCGGCATGACAGGACACTGTTTCAGTATTTCGAGATGCGAGATGTGATGATGGATTGGAACGGCGTGGTGTTCAACAGCTCCATGCACTTTTTCCGCCATGGCTGCTTTTCGGATGCTGATGTGAGTCACAAACTGGGGTTACTAGCTCTCTCTTGCCTCTGGCCCCCTCCCCCGTCTTCACCAGCCCCCACCGCACACGCTCGCCGTCAGCTCTCTCTTCTTCTCTGCTACTCCCTCCCTGTGTGTGTGCTCCACCAGATTGTTTTTGAGAATTCTCAAAAACACTCCACTGCACACACTCGCCGTCAGCTCTCCCTTGTTGTGTGTCACTCCCTGTGTGTGTGCTCCACCAGATTTAGTTATCCCATATGAGATTGGTCCGATGGGTGGGGGTATGGTGTGCATGCTACCCCTCTTTTCTGTGTCGCCTTCTTGCATCCCTTTCCTTACTGTCACATCCTTTCAGTCTGCCCCCACCCAGTTCACACCTACCCCAGCGGCAACACCTCAGTGCAGCGCGTGGGGCGCATGGTGAGCATGCTGTACACGCCCGCCACCAGCTTCCCATCTTCCCTGTCCCCATCGCCCCCATCTCCCCCATCTCCCCTCCACATCCCCCATCTCCCCCATCCCACCCAGTTCACCTACCCCAGCGGCAACACCACGGTGCAGCGCGTGGGGCGCATGGTGAGCATGCTGTACACGCCCGCCACCAGCTTCTACCACTCCATCATCGAGTGGGTGCCGCAGTGGCTCGTGCTGAGAGAACTGTTGCAGGAGCACCCCAACATTCTCATTGTCATGCGCGCTGCTCAGGTGAGCGCGCTGCTCAGGTGAGCGCGCTGCTCAGGTGAGCGCGCTGCTCAGGTGAGCGCGCTGCTCAGGTGAGCGCGCTGCTCAGGTGAGCGCGCTGCTCAGGTGAGCGCGCTGCTCAGGTGAGCGCGCTGCTCAGGTGAGCGCGCTGCTCAGGTGAGCAGCTCAGGTGAGAGGAAGGGCGAGAAGTGGCATGAGAGCATGTATGACGCTATGGGCTAGTTAGAGCACAGATGTGAGGCGAGGCAGTACACCAGCTTCTACCACTCCATCATCGAGTGGGTGCCGCAGTGGCTCGTGCTGAGGGAACTGCTGGAAGAACATCCCAACATCCTTATCGTGATGCGCGCTGCTCAGGTGAGAGCTGGTGTGGTGTGCATGAAGCACAGATAGTTGCACAGAACCACAAGGGCTTCTTCTATCACTCCATCATCGAATGGGTGCCGCAGTGACTCGTGCTGCGGGAGCCGCTGCAGGAGCACCCGAATATTCTCATTGTCATGCGCGGTGCTCAGGTGAGAGCAGAAGTGCAAGAATCGAGTCAGTAAGAACAGAGATGGTGAGGTGAGGTACCACAGCACCACAAGGGCTTCTATCACTCCATCATCGAGTGGGCGCCGCAGTGGCTCGTGCTAAGAGAGCTGCTGCAGGAGCATCCGAATGTACTCATTGTCAAGCGCGCCGCTCAGGTGAGAGCGTGATAGGACTCACAGGAGGAAGGACTAGAAAAAGTAAACACTCAGGTGCTGAGGGAGCTGCTGCAGGAGCATCCGAATATACTCAATGTCATGCGCGCCGCTCAGGTGAGCGAGAGGGTATGATGAGTTGAGACAAAGCAGGAGTAAATATGCAGATGATGAGGTGAGGCATCACAAGACTAGTTTTGAGGCGCCTCAAAAGTAAATATGCAGATGATGAGGCATCACAAGACTGGCATGGGATTGTGGGGATGACTAGCAATTCATTCAGCAGACCACCATCACATAGCATCATAGCATAATGCTATGATGCAGATCACCTCAAAACTAAATTACCTTTCTGATTATGCAAGAAATACTTGATTTTGTGTGTGTCTGTGCGTGTGTGTGTGCATGTGTATCATGTCCCACCATACCACCCGTGCAGCTGCAGCTGTACAACAGCACGTTGAAGCACATAGTGGGAGTGGAGCCAGCGCACATGAACCTGCTCGTGCTTGATTGGCAGCACCGCAACACCCTCTTCCTTGCACAGGCGCTTTACCAGGTAGGAAGGGGTTTGCACTTTACCAGGTAACCAAGGGGGTCCCATCCCACGCATGCGGCTTCAACTGGACAACAGCACGTTGAAGCACATAGTGGGAGTGGAGCCAGCGCACATGAATCTGCTCGTGCTTGATTGGCAGCACCGCAACACCCTCTTCCTTGCACAGGCGCTCTATCAGGTACGGAGGGGTTAGCGCTTCACCAGTAAACAAAGGCCATGGTTTCTACCAGGTATTAAAGGCCATGGTTTCTACCAGGTATTAAAGGCCATGTTCTCACCTCTCTCCTTGCCGTTCTCTCCTGTTTCCCCTAACCCCTTGGTCCCTCTTGCTTCCTTTCCTTCCCCCCTTGTTTCCCCCCCTCCACCCTGTCAACCACTGCTGTGACCGGGCCACACCCACCCACCATCTGGCACTTCCCATTTCGAAGCACCCCCATCCTCTCTCACCCCACCGTTCTCCTCCTTTTTGCTCCCCGCCCTCCAGCCTGTCTACCGCTGCTACAGTGTGGACCAGGCCTATCTACCCACTATCTGGCGATTCCTGATTCGAAGCATCTTCCTTCCTCACCTCCCTCCTCTCTGTCCTCTCTCCCCTTCCTCCTCCCTCGTTCAATCCCTCCCCCAGCCTGTCTACCGCTGCTGCGGCCGGGCCACACCCACCATCTGGCGCTTCCTCCGCCGAAACTTTTTCCTTCCGCCCGACGGGCTGCCCATTTTCGAGCCCGAAACTTTCCGCCTCCGCCGAACCTCCCCACTAAGCTACCAAGACATAACAGACTTACTTAGCCAGCGTGAGGAGCAGCAGTCACAACATCCCCGGCGGCTCGACGTGCTTAAGCCCGGACCTGTGCCGAGCCTTGCGGAGACGTTTGGGATGACGACGGGGCTGAACTGGGTGACGATCCTGGTTCGGAGGCCCGGAAATCTGTCGAGGAATTTGGAGGAGAGTGTGTATGAGAGGGTGGAGGGGTGGATGAGGAAGGAGTTTGGGGAGAGGCGAGTGGTGGTGTTTGATGGAAGTCTGCGTCTCATGGAAGGTGAGTGGTCTAGTGAGTGAGTAAGTGATTGTGTGGGTGAGTGAGTGAGAGTAAGTGAAGGTGTTTGATTTGATGCGAGTGGTGGTTTTTTAGGTATGGCTGCCTGCCATGGAAGGTGGTTTTTGGGGTGCAAGAGTGAGTGAGTGAATGAGTGGGGCTGTAGGTGCAGCAGTGGGGGACTGAGTGAGTGTAGGAATGGGTGAGTGAGGGAGTGTGTCGTGTTTAGAATGGGTGAGTGGGTTGGTGGGTGAGTCATGAAGAGAGTGCAGGAGTGGCTGAGACAGTGAGTGACCCTCGATGGAGTGAGTGAGTGAATGGATGTGTCGGTGAGCACTCATATACTGAGTAGAGCACTGTAATTCCCCCCGTGCCTCTCTTTTTCTCACTACCTGTTTTGTCAAGTACTGCTAGATTATATGGTAGCATGCTAGACTTTTGTGACAAGCTACAAGTCAAGGGTCAGAGGATGAAGAAAGGTATGAGACAGGGGGCGTCGGTGGGACAAGGAAAAACGTGGTGGTTATCTGAGAAAAGCTTCAGGAGCTGGAAGAATACTTAATGAGCATGGAGGGAACATGTGCACGCATGAACGCGAGCGCCCGTGTGCCAAATCACCCCTTCCTCCATGTTGTACAATTAGCCCTTTCCCTTTTGTGCTGTAAATTAAAGAGGGGAGGGGTTGATTTTACAGCACTGAAGAAGAGGGGTTGATTATAGCGCAACGGAGAAGGGGATGTTTTGGCACCCTTTTATGCGTGCGCATGTTCCCTCCATGCTCATTTTGTACTTCAACTGCTTCTCCAACTCTTTCAGCTTCTCTCTGGTAACCACCACGTTTTCCCTTGCCCCACTGCTGCAGCGCGTGTTTTTTGAGAATTCTCAAAAAACCACCACGTTTTCCCTTGCCCCACTGCTGCAGCGCGTGTTTTTTGAGAATTCTCTGGTAACCACCACGTTTTCCCTTGCCCCACTGCTGCCACTGTCTCACCTCCACCACTGACGCCTCCTATTCTTTCACCTTTCTTCATCTTCTGACTCTCGTTTTGTCCTCTTGCCTCCTCCCTCGCCTCAGTATTTGACAACATGTGGTGTACAGTTGAATTGAGCATGTACCCGATTCGGGTGTATATTTGTGTTGGGGGCGCCAATCCCACCATTTTGTGATGGACACCCCAACACAAGCAATGTGTTCATTGGTGGTCATTCCACATCGGTCCTAACCTTGTGATTGGTGAACCCAAACACATTGTGGGACCGATTGTGGCTGACCATTCCACCATTTATTTGCCCCCAATCACCTTCCGCCCTTCCACCTCTCTCTTGCATCATATGCATACCCTTCTTTCCTCAATATAATCAACTTTTTGATTTCTAACAAGTACTAAGTACCTCCCCTTATTTTTCACACAAATCCGAAATTCTCCCCTCCATCTCTGCCCGCCCTCCATCTCTGCCCCCCCTCCATCTCTGCCCGCCCTCCATCTCTGCCCCCCATTCCCCCTTGTTGAAGCCCGGGCTCTCTTCCGCCGAGCCGCCCTATTGGTCGGCACGCACGGGGCCGCCCTGACCAACCTCCTCTTCATGCCACGTGGCGCCTTCCTACTGGAAATCCGCCCCCGGGGTTACCCCAACGCGTGTTACCACCACCTAGCCAGCGTGTCGCAGATGCACTATTGGCTGCTGCTGGGGAATGGGACAAAAGACTCCGCCCTGCAAGTGGACACAGGGGAGGTGTTATCTACGATAAGGGAAGTTGCTGGGAAGGTGTTTGCTGCTCTGAGGGGAGAGCCGAAAGACGTGGGGGAGAGATTGGGGGAGAGAGCAAAAGGGGGAGAGGAAGGGACGGAAAAGAAAACAAAGGAGGGGAGCATTGCAGGGGTAAAGATCGGAGGGAAAGAGATTGGCAGCAGTGGTGGTGCCGCTGGTACCTCTACTGCTGCTGTAACTGCAGCGGCTACTGCAGCGACTGCTGATAGCAGCAACACCACACCATCTGACGCCACTGGCACTGCTGCCACTACCCACCCCATCAGCACAGGCTCCTCTTCTCCCACCTCTTCTGCCTCCGCCCCTCTTATTACTTCCCCCACCCCCATCCCCACCCCCATCCCCACCTCCCTCCCCACTTCCCTCCCCACTGACACCACCACTCCCTCCGCCTCCGCCTCTCTCACCCCCATCCCGCCCCTCCCTCCGCCCACCTTCCCCGTCCCCCTCTCCACCTCCCCCTCCGCGCTCCCCGCCGCCTTCCCCTCGGGCTGCGCGTGCTACCGGCTCCGCAACGCCTTCTGCTGCACCCAGGCTGTCTGCGTCTGCCGCAACGTGTGCTACAACGGGTCGGCGTTGCTCGGCAGATACGGACCCGACATCACAGACACCACCGACACCACCGACACCACCGACAGCACCAGCAGCACCAGCAGCACTGCTTTCCCCCCGCGCCCCCCCCACCCCTGCCTCCCCCCGGTCCATGCCCCCGCCGCAGCCAACAAATCCGCGCTGCTCTCTCCCACGTCCTGCTCAAACCTGCCTCAGTTCGGCCGCATGCTGAGATCGGCGCTCTCAGAGGCGCCCGTGAAAGGCGGGCTGCAGGCCGCAGGGGATGCGCGGTGGCGGCGGTGGGTTGGGGGGGAGGCGGAGTGGCGAATGGGCGGGACTCTGTTTGTGCCTCTGACGCACCAGACCACCAACGTGGCACACTTTCTAGGTGGGCGTAAGTCAAAGGTGATTTGAACGTTCAAATCAAGCGAAAGCGGAAGTCAAGCCAGGAGAAAGTCAAAGGTGGAAGAGAAAGCGGAAAGTCAAGCCAGGAGGAATATCCGGATCGGGGCAAGCATTGACCGGAAAAGCTATAATGTTTCTTTCTCCCATCCATTCCAAACCCTTTGGCTCTCTGAGCTTCACACACTGGCGCATCCTGGTTTCGATCGATGTGACACCCACAGCAGGCCATTTTAGGTGAGGGAGTTTTTGAGACGTCTCGGAGAAAGAAACATTATAGCTTCACACACTGGCGCATCCTGGTTTCGATCGATTTGACACCCACAGCAGGCCATTTTGAAACACCTATAATCACCTTCCGTTTCTTTCTCTGTGCCCTCTCATGTGCAGGCAAGGCGGCACATATTCTTTTCGTGAACAACGTGACCTCCAAGACGGGCCTTTATGGGCCATTATAAAGCAAGTGATTTATCTTCCTGCTTTCTTTTTTCCCTCTCACGTGCAGGCAAGGCGGCACATATTCTTCTCGTGAACAACGTGACAGTTAAGAGCGGCCTGCCACGTGTCGATCGGTTCTTGCTCCCCCGTGCCGACTGGACCGTGCACAGGTGATGCATTCGATGCTTTCCACTCTGTCTCTCGTTCCTGTTTCGCCTCACTCTCTCTTCTCACTCTCACACCCACATGCAGTTTTTTCTCCTTCCCTCACCTAAACGCTATACCTCTCTGTCACTCACACCTCACTCAACCCCTTTTTCCTAACCGCCTTAATTCCCAGAATGAAGGAGCACGGGGCAAACGCCTAGCTGCCCTCCATGCTGCACCTCTTCCTCTTCATGGCAATCCAATCCCCTTTCACGCCCCCCTGTGACTCACACTCACCCACCTCATTCTCCAACCTGTTCCCTAACCCGCTTCCCTCTCAGAATGAAGGAGCATGGACCACATGGCTGGCTGCCATCAATGCTGCACCTCCTCCGCATGGCACTCCTATTTCCCCAACTCACACCACTCCCCCCCCTTTCTTATTCTGACTTGTTCCCGAACCCGCTTCTCTCTCAGAATGAAGGAGCACGGACCACACGGCTGGCTGCCATCAATGCTGCACCTCCTCCTCCGCATGGCACTCGAGCCTCTCCTCCCCACCTCCCTCCTCCCCTCCCTCCTCGCCTCCATCTCGCCTTCCTCCCTCCTCTCCCCCGGCCCTCTGGCTGGAGGGCGGGTGGAGTTTGAGGGGCAGTTGAATGCTGCAAGCGATGAGAGGCCCATGTGCTTCCAGACACTCGTGGTGCCCGGATTTCTCAAGGTGAGTCACTCTTCCCTTCTCAAGGTGTGTTTTTGAGACCCCTCAAGGCTTGTGGGCCGTGACAGGGTGAGTTTGAGGGGCAGTTGAATGCAGCCAGCGATGAGAGGCCCATGTGCTTCCAGACCCTTGTTGTGCCTGGCTTTCTTAAGGTACGCCTGTCTTCCCTCATCAAGGTGTGTTTTAAAGGCTGGTGGGCGGGCGGAGTTTGAGGGGCAGTTGAATGCAGCTAGTGATGAGCGTCCCATGTGCTTCCAGACGCTTGTTTTGCTTGGCCTACTCAAGATGAGGCACTTTGTGCTTCCATTCTTGTTCTGTGCATGTGCTTCCGGACACTTATTGAGCCCGGCCTGCTCAAGGTGCTTTCCTGTCTGCTGACGCGAGCAGTAATTGAAGGAGGCGTATCCCTCCTTCAACTCCCCCCCACATTGCAACTCGTATCTTCAATCTTACTTATCGCAAGGCCGCCACGTTCAACGGTATGGCAGAGGAGGCAGAGCTGGTGAGGCAGCGACTGAGAGAGGTGTTTCTCTTTTCACCTCTCCCCCGCATTCCAACTCTGACCTTCCTGCACCTCAACCTCAACTGCCCCCTCCCACTCCCCATCCCTCCAGGCCATCACATTCAATGGCATGGCGGAGGAGGCAGAGCTGGTGAGGCAGCGACTGAGAGAGGTGTTTCTCTTTTCACCTCTCCCCCGCATTCCAACTCTGACCTTCCTGCACCTCAACTGCCCCCTCCCACTCCCCATCCCTCCAGGCCATCACATTCAATGGCATGGCGGAGGAGGCAGAGCTGGTGAGGCAGCGACTGAGAGAGGTGTTTCTCTTTTCACCTCTCCCCCGCATTCCAACTCTGACCTTCCTGCACCCAACTGCCCCCTCCCACTCCCCATCCCTCCAGGCCATCACATTCAATGGCATGGCGGAGGAGGCAGAGCTGGTGAGGCAGCGATTGAGAGAGGTTGCCTCTTGCCGCTTCCTTCCTTCAATTACCCCTTGTACCTCACCAACTCCCCACATCTCTCCCTTCCCCTCCAGGCCATCACATTCAACGGTATGGCGGAGGAGGCAGAGGTGGTGAGGCAGCGACTGAGGGAGGTGTTTCTCACTCCCGACGGCCAACCGGTGCCCGATATCATGGCCGCGAGCTCTGGTGGTGGTGGAAGTGCTGGTGACAGCAGCAGCAGCAGCAGCAGTAGCAGCAGCGGTGGCAGCGGCGGCAGCAGCGGTGGCAGCGGCGGCAGCAGCGGTGGTGGCGGCAGCAGCGGCGATCGGCACTACCTTGACGATGGGTCGCGGGTGCGGTTGCTGTATGTGACGCGCAACGACACCATGACCACTGGGAGGAGAGTTATGCACCCTGACAGCCACAAGGCCCTACAAGAGCTTTTCAACCGGATGGGTTTCGAGGTGAGATCGAATGTGTGCATACATGTGTGGGTAGGGGGATGCATGCATGTGAAGGTGGGCTGTATGTGACTCGCAACGACACCATGACCACCGGGAGGAGGGTCATGCACCCTGACAGCCACAAGGCGCTTCAAGAGCTTTTCAACCGGATGGATTTCCAGGTGCGATCGAATGTGTGTATAAGTGTGTGGGTTGGGGAGGTGTATATGGCATCAATGCATGGGTCACGGGTGCAGCTGCTGTCTGTGACGCGCAACGACACCATGACGACTGGGAGGAGGGTCATGCACGCAGTGACTTCTGAGTCGATTCAAAAGTCACCTCGCACAACGACACCATGACGACTGGGAGGAGAGTCATGCACGCAGACTGTCTGGGTGCATGACCCTCCACCCGGTCACTATCGTGCCATTTCTCGTCACATACAGCAGCTGAAACTGTGACCCACATGTGGATGCAACCGCCCACGCATGCTCTTATACACACATTTGCTCGCTCCTGAGATTTCATCCTATTGAAAAGCACCTGCAGGCCCCAGTGGCTGCTGCATGTGACGCTGTCCCCCCATTCTCGGTAGCTAGTCCGTCACTCCATAGCCCAGCACGTCCCCTACACACCCTCCCTTCACGTCCCCTACACACCCTCCCTTCACGTCCCCTACACACCCTCCCTTCACGTCCCTTACACACCCTCCCTTCACGTCCCCTACACACCCTCCCTTCACGTCCCCTACACACCCTCCCTTCACGTCCCCTACACACCCTCCCTTCACGTCCCCTACACACCCTCCCTTCACGTCCCCTACACACCCTCCCTTCACGTCCCCTACACACCCTCCCTTCACGTCCCCTACACACCCTCCCTTCACGTCCCCTACACACCCTCCCTTCACGTCCCCTACACACCCTCCCTTCACGTCCCCTACACACCCTCCCTTCACGTCCCCTACACACCCTCCCTTCACGTCCCCTACACACCCTCCCTTCACGTCCCCTACACACCCTCCCTTCACGTCCCCTACACACCCTCCCTTCACGTCCCCTACACACCCTCCCTTCACGTCCCCTACACACCCTCCCTTCACGTCCCCTACACACCCTCCCTTCACGTCCCCTACACACCCTCCCTTCACGTCCCCTACACACCCTCCCTTCACGTCCCCTACACACCCTCCCTTCACGTCCCCTACACACCCTCCCTTCACGTCCCCTACACACCCTCCCTTCACGTCCCCTACACACCCTCCCTTCACGTCCCCTACACACCCTCCCTTCACGTCCCCTACACACCCTCCCTTCACGTCCCCTACACACCCTCCCTTCACGTCCCCTACACACCCTCCCTTCACGTCCCCTACACACCCTCCCTTCACGTCCCCTACACACCCTCCCTTCACGTCCCCTACACACCCTCCCTTCACGTCCCCTACACACCCTCCCTTCACGTCCCCTACACACCCTCCCTTCACGTCCCCTACACACCCTCCCTTCACGTCCCCTACACACCCTCCCTTCACGTCCCCTACACACCCTCCCTTCACGTCCCCTACACACCCTCCCTTCACGTCCCCTACACACCCTCCCTTCACGTCCCCTACACACCCTCCCTTCACGTCCCCTACACACCCTCCCTTCACGTCCCCTACACACCCTCCCTTCACGTCCCCTACACACCCTCCCTTCACGTCCCCTACACACCCTCCCTTCACGTCCCCTACACACCCTCCCTTCACGTCCCCTACACACCCTCCCTTCACGTCCCCTACACACCCTCCCTTCACGTCCCCTACACACCCTCCCTTCACGTCCCCTACACACCCTCCCTTCACGTCCCCTACACACCCTCCCTTCACGTCCCCTACACACCCTCCCTTCACGTCCCCTACACACCCTCCCTTCACGTCCCCTACACACCCTCCCTTCACGTCCCCTACACACCCTCCCTTCACGTCCCACACTCTGACACTCTCCCTCGCCCACCCCCCCACATGTGACAAAGACAGAATATGCTCTTCTCCCTTTCTCTCAGCAGCTTGCCCTCACTGATTCCGCCTAGGTTATCGTGGCCCTGCACGGTACATGTCTCACCAACAAACCCTCCCTTCCCTCCCTCCTATTTCACACTCTCTGACACTCTCCCTCCCACGTCCCCCACAGGTGACAATGACAGAATACGCTGTTATCCCCTTCTCTCAACAGCTAGCCCTCACTAATTCTGCCTAAGTCATCGTGGCCCTGCACGGTACATGTCTCACCAACAACCCTCCTTTCCCTCCCTCTCCTCTCCCGCTCATCCTATTCCCCTTCCTCGCCCATTCTCCCCCACAGGTGACAATGACAGAATATGCTGTTCTCCCCTTCTCCCAACAGCTAGCCCTCACTGATTCATCTGAAGTGATCGTGGCCCTACACGGCGCAGGCCTCACCAACCCCACCTGTTTCGCTCGCTCAGATGCGATCGTTCTCGAGATCTCCCCCTTCGGAGTGTTCTACGATCTGTATTACTACACCGCAATAAACGCGGGGATAAATTACATGCAGTATCAGTGTACCGCGGGGCCTCCGCCTGCGCCTGCTAACGATTCGCTCTATGCGGGGATGAGTCCTATGGAGTGCGATCGAGATGCGGCGTGTAAGAAATATCGCACGCACTCGCGAAAGGTACACCTGGCCGATCAAGACATAAGCGGTGTTGAAAAGCTGTTAAAATTCGCCCAGGAATTTGCGCTGGATGTTAGGAAGAATGGGAGGGAGGAGGCTGGTAAGCGGTTGAAGGAATCTTATGGGAAGCGGTGTCTGGAGAAGAAGTTGAGAAAGGAGTGTAGGATGAGTTTTCTTCGGTCGCCATTAGCTGATCCTGATTATGAATGTATCTTGTCACTTGACTGCCCGTACATCCAGCCTGTATGATGTATATTTATCATTCTCCTAATTTTATGCACCCTGTATGCATCCGCCTTACTGTTAAGATACAATGCAATGCACTTCAGTGTGCTTGAGTGTACAAGGGGACCAAAGATGACCTATCCCAAGGCAGCCAATATACAAAATAGGCATCTTGTGTGTACATCACTGTGTTGCATTACATTATCCATCCCCAAAGATCGACACCTCATCTGGATGCTCGTCCCCTGGCAAAGGCGGAAACGTCTTGGCAATTTCCTTCAACACCCCTGTAACCTTCCCCACATCAATCTTCACTACGCTCTCCCCATCCCCATCCCCAAACGTCAGGTAATATCGGAGCCCACATGCATGTGCTAGGTGGTGGTAACACGCGTTGTTGCTCTTGTCGGGTCGAATCTCGTAGACTGTCATGTTGGGTCGCATGAAGACCATGTTTGCCATTGCTGCTCCGTGTCCCGCTATAAGCAGCCTCGCTCTTCGAAACAGCGACCGAGCTGGAGGTGTGGAAACAGGAACAAGAACGTGGATCGTGCAGGAACATGGAAGGGGGAACGCGGGAATGGGAAGGAGTTGGCAGAAAGCTTTGGGGCACATCCACACAGCCAGCAGTTGGAAGTTATCATTGTTGGAAAGGAGCAGGAAACAAATAAGGCACAAAACAGAAAATAAACAAACAAACAAACAAAGACATCCAAACCTAATTCCATAAACTGAAAGAAAGGGTGGAGTACCTTTGAGCATAGGCACGGAGCCATTTAGCACATGGACCCGGTTGAGAGAGAACACCGATACGGCCGACTCATACAGCGCGTCCCAGCGGTCCAATGAGCGCTTGACACCTGGCCGCCGCACAAGCAGCACCATCCAGTCAGGCGGCACTGTTGCCGCCTCGGTCTGGTTCACCGGATCGGCCAATCCTGGCCGTTGGATCCAGGTGGTGGGCGGAAAGATGGGGAGGCCTTGCGGGGCAAGGAGGAAGTGGGAGCGGAGGAGCGACCAGAGAGAGGGGCTGGCCTTGCCACATGCCTGGTATAGTGGCTGGGGTGTTGGAGAGGAGGGGAAAGAGAAACAGGAGGAGAGGATACAGGAAAGCATTGCGGGGTAAGGAGGAAGTGGGAGCGGAGGAGTGACCAGAGAGAGGGGCTGGCCTTGCCACATGCCTGGTATAGCGGCTGGGGTGTTGGGAGAGGAGGGGAAAGGGAAACAGGAGAACAAAGCAATAAGCAAGATGCTTGAAACTAGATAAGCAAAGCACTTAGCTCGAATAACCAACATGCTTACACTCCAAATAGTGAATTGCCTGAGCCTGGAAAGGCAAAATGCATCGCTTTGGCAGTATAAGAAGGTGCACATGCACATAGACAAGGTCATGTGTGTGACTTACCAGGTACACCTCATCGGCATAGAAGAGCTCCCCGCGGCTTATATTGAGTCGGTTCATAGCGAATTGCTCCACTCCTATAATAGGCTTTGATATATTCTCGTAGAAATCCCACTGCGTGGACAGGAAAAGGAACGAGGGGGGAGTGAGACGGGGAGAGAGAGTGGAGGAACGTCCTCTTTAGCAGATGGTGAAGAAGACACATGCACCTACTTGCACATTTACCATTGCACCTACTTGCACATTTACCATTGCACCTACTTGCACATTTACCATTGCACCTACTTGCACATTTACCATTGCACCTACTTGCACATTTACCATTGCACCAACTTGCACATTTACCATTGCACCTACTTGCACATTTACCATTGCAGGAGAATGGAAGTGGAAGGAAGACGAGAGGCGAGAAAATAGCATGCAGGGTAATTGAGAAAACGATATCCCTGCTGCACCTCCATGCAAGCCCATTGTACACGCCTACACCAGACATACCTGGTGAGCCCATGCGGACCTTACAATCTCACGCCAGATGTAACCTCGTTGCAAGATGTACGCACAGAGGACACTCCTTAACCACCTACAGCAGGGAACAGCAGGTGTACCTGGTCATGCAGGCCTACATGCCGCCTACACCAGGTGTACCTGGTCGTGCAGGCCTACATGCCGCCTACACCAGGTGTACCTGGTCGTGGATGGCGAGCAGAGGGATGGTGGGGTGGGCGTGCAGCAGAGAGCTGAGGAGGAAGAGCTGGGGCGTCCATTCGATGAGCCCGTGGTAGAAGTTGCGGCCCTGATAGTATGCCAGGTTCACCACTCGCTTCAACCTATGCACCTTTGTGCCCTTCTTGTACTCGAACTGCGGGGATATAGGGGTGAGGATGAAGGGAGGCCGTCCAATCGGTGAGCCCGTGGTAGAAGTTGCGGCCCTGATAGTACGCCAGGTTCACCGCCCTCTTGAGCTTGTTAACCTTTTTGCCCTTCTTGTACTCAAACTGCAAGCAGATGCGGTGGTTCAGGATGGGGGTAATGTAGGGGTGAGATGATGTGAGCCCGTGGTAGAAGTTGCGGCCCTGGTAGAATGCCAGGTTCACAACTCGCTTCAACCTGTGGACCTTTCTTCCTTTTTCGTACTTCAATTGGGAGATGGGGTTAGCGGTTGAGATGGAATTGAGGGGAGCGGATAAAATCACACATCCGTGGTCTTGAAGCCACACGGCAAGTATGAACTTGCATTGAACGTGGAAGCTTCCTTTTTAGAATCTGATTGCGGATGAGATGCTGGGCTTTGATTTGACTCACGTACATCACAAAACTCGCCTCACACACAGTCACTGCATACACTCTCGCTCACACACACACACACACACACACACACAAACACACACACACACACACACACACACACACACAAATTGTCACCACATGCACACTCACCGCACACACAAACACTCACCGGTGCATCATTGTTGCACCCCTCCCGGTTGAAATGGGTCGTTTTGTTGAACACATGCCCCTCGTGGTCGATATACACTCCCCGCAAAAGGTAAATCTGGAATGTGCCCGGTTCGTACCACCCGAAATCGGACGTATGCGAGCAGCTCTCATCCCTCCCCTCCGGGCCCACAGTCGTCAAATTCCCTTTCTTCGGGCAGTTTATAGGAATCGCCGGGCGGGCAAACCCCTCATCTGAAACTTCATTCATCCTGCAGGCCGACGCTTCGCGATTCGACTCGCACCTGCCCGAAAAATCCGGGCACGGGCCGCCCGTACAGTTAAGAATCGCCTTGCGCTTATCATGTGACACCCCTGAATTCACATGCACCTGTTTCATCTCAGCCCGTTTCAAATCTTCACTCAACTCCCCAATTGTTACCACCCTCTCTCCCTCCATCTTCTTTTTAGTCTCTTCATCCAGACTCTTCACCTCCTCCTCCTGCTCCTCCGCCCCTACATCTGTGTCATTCAGCGCCTTTAGAGTCACATCCGCCATAAGCTCAAGCGGAATAGTCAACTCCGCATTCCCCCCTCCGCCATTTTCCTCCTCCTCCTCCCCATCCAGCCCAGACCTCTCCTTCCAATCCTCCTCCCCCACCGCTTCCAGCGGCGGCAACAGATTAATCGACTCGAACTTTTCAGCCGACATTCTTGCTCTCGTGCGATTGGCAATCAGTCTCAGCACTTCCACAGCCTCAGTGTGGTTGAAGTTCAACTCGCTGTCCTTGGTACCGTTCCCGAGGATCAAATGGTAGTGCATCTGGGTGGCGGTGGCGAGATGGTGGTAGCAGGGGTTAGGGTAACCGCGCGGGCGGATTTCAAATATGCTGGCGTTGAGCGGCATGAAGACCATGTTGGCCAGGCCTGCCCCGTGCAGCCCCACAAACACCGCTGCCCTGTTGAACACGGTTTTGGCTGGGAGGGGCAAGAGAGCCGGGACGGGGAAACATCAGGTGGAATGACAAAAAGGATCAGGGACACGAGATGCTGGCGTTGAGCGGCATGAAGACCATGTTGGCCAGGCCTGCCCCGTGCAGCCCCACAAACACCGCTGCCCTGTTGAACACGGTTTTGGCTGGGAGGGGCAAGAGAGCCGGGACGGGGAAACATCAGGTGGAATGACAAAAAGGATCAGGGACACGAGATGCTGGCGTTGAGCGGCATGAAGACCATGTTGGCCAGGCCTGCCCCGTGCAGCCCCACAAACACCGCTGCCCTGTTGAACACGGTTTTGGCTGGGAGGGGCAAGAGAGCCGGGACGGGGAAACATCAGGTGGAATGACAAAAAGGATCAGGGACACGAGATGCTGGCGTTCAGCGGCACGAAGACCATGTTGGCCAGGCCTGCCCCGTGCAGCCCCACAAACACCGCTGCCCTGTTGATTACGGTTTTGGCTGGGATGGGAGGGACAAGAGGACGGGGAACAGGAAAATAGGATGTTGGATTTGATTCACTCTCCTTGGTCCCGTCACCTTGGGTTACATTCAGCTTGCCAACACATAGACCGTCTATAAGGGTGTAAACAAATACCACTGTATTCGTATTAGTATTCGATATTCGACAAATATCAAATACAAATAAAATACAAATGCCCCTTACTATTCGAAAGTATTCGACGTTCAAGTATTCAAGTATTCGGTTTAGATAACCGGTTATTCGAATACATATTCGATTCGTTCTTAAGTTACTGAACCACTCAAACCAGCCGCTATTATTCACGAAATCTTGAGTAAAAAATACAAAGGACTCTACAGAACGGCCGTCAGAGCCATGCTAACTGAGCAAGGGGCCAATGAGTTAGAGTAAAAGGGTGTGAATGATACTTCAGTATGCATTTAAGCCCCACCGTGAATCATGAGATCCTTGTTTGAGCTACAATATGCTATTCGAAACCGTATTCGACACACCATGTATTCGAATCGTATTCGAATTCGTGGAGGGACAGGTATTCGAACAAATACAAATACAGCCAGGTGTTCGACAATTATTCGTTTTAGATAACCGTATTCGAATCCGTATTCGTTTTTACACCCTTACATAGACCTCAAGGGGTGGAAGATCTGTTTCATCCAGTCCACCAATCGTGGGAAGCCAGCGATGCGCCGCTTGGACTTCTGGCGGCATGCAAACAACAAACATCTAGACTGTACATGCTCTCCCAACTCACCTTGGGTTACATTCAGCTCGCCATCAAACGCATAGACCCTAGAAGGGTGGAAGGTCTGCTTCATGGAGTCCCAATTGCAGGAAGCCAGCGATGCGGCGCTTGGACTTGATTGCGATGGCAGTCAAACCAACAACATGCAGACCACGGTCCCAACTCATCTCACCTTGACTGACATTCAGTTTGCCATCAAACACATACACCCTGGAGGGGTGGAAGATCTGCTTCATGGAATCCACCAATTGACTGGACCGCAGTGAGTTGTGATGGCACTCAAGCAACCCAACCCAACACACCTTGGGTGACATTCAGCTTGCCATCGAACACGTAGACCCTAGAGGGGTGGAAGATCTGCTTCATGGAATCCACCAATTGCGGGAAGCCAGCAATGCGCCGCTTGGACTTGTGGCGCCGAGCAATCACAGCGAGCCAGCTGGCGGGCAGCCGAGCCATCTGCTCGTCCGTCCACGGAGGGGGGATGCTGCTGCTGTTAGTGTTGGTGGCGGTGCTGCTGTTGTTGGTGGCGGTGGTGCTGCTGTTCCCAGTGCTGTCATTGCTGCTGCTGCTGTTGCCAGGGTGCCGGGGAGCAAAGCCCGGGCCGAACATGGGGAGGCCGTCGGATGGCACGAGGTAGCGCCGCCTCAGCTCCCGCCACACGGCTGGCGCTGCCCTGCCGCATGCTTGGAACACAGGCTGCAGTGCGGATGGGGGGAGGGGGGGAGGTGGGGGGGGTAAGGAAATACAGAGGGAGTTGGTGGATTCACGAGGTAGCGCCTCAGCTCCCGCCACACGGCTGGCGCTGCCCTGCCACATGCTTGGAACACAGGGTGCAGTGGTGGTGTGGGGGGGAGGAAGGATAGGACGAGGGAGTTGGTGGCACGAGGTAGCGCCGCCGCCTCAGCTCCTGCCACACGCCTGTTGCTTCCCTGCTGCATGCCTCGAACACAGGCTCCAATGAGGTTTGAGGGAGGTGGGACGGGGGATTAAAAGGATGGTTTGTGCTGCCTCTTAGCTCATGCTACATGCCTGGGAGGTTAAATAAAGCAACTCATCATATCGATGCAATGCTTTTGTTTCCATCGATGAGGCATGCACCAGGCGTGCAGGGTCTGGGGCAAATTGCAATGCTTTTGTTTCCATTCAGTTATGCCTGTCGGATATGCATGTTGACACATAGAGAGGAGTGAGGTAATGGGAGTGCAACACGCCCTACAACATAAGCGTGTACCTGGTATGCCACGTCAGCACGTACCTGGTACGCCACATCAGCGTATACTGGTACGCCACGTCAGCACATGCCACATACCACATCAGCACGTACCTGGTACGCCATGTCAGCATGCAGCAGCATCTTCTGGTTCCGATCGTCCACGAGAACGAGGTTCAGCACACGCGAGGTGATGCCCACGATGGGGTGCAGCACAGAATCATACATCTTCAGCTGTGTTGGCGGGGGGGAGGAGAGAGGAGAGAAGTGCAGTACGGTTGGTTCGTGGTGAGTCTGAGCCATCTCAACAAGTCAGGTCCATGAAGCTGATAGCCATTACCCACGATGGGGTACAGCACCGAGTCGTACATCTTCAGCTGTGCTGGCGGGGAGGAGGAGAAAATACATGTTTGCTCTGATTATAATGTTCAGATTCAGGTGATGATTTCAGTTAGGTTCAGCTCGCGCGAGGTGATGCCCACAATGGGGTACAGCACAGAGCCGTACATCTTCAGCTGTGCTGGCAGGGAGCAGAGGAGTGCAGCATGGTTCAAGGTGACTTGTGAGCGTGGTAAGAGAGAGACATGAGAAGGAGGTTCAGCTCGCGCGAGGTGATGCCCACGATGGGGTACAGCACAGAGTCGTACATCTTCAGCTGTGCTGGCGGGAAGAAGAGGAGTGCAGCATGGTTCAAGGTGACTTGTGAGTGTGGAAAGAGCGACTAGAGAAGGAGCAAAGAAAGGGCTCTTATTCGTGAGCAGCAGGAGAGGCAAGACTCGAGCATGGTAGAGACTGGGCTCAAACAGCCCTAAATAGCTGCAGAGAGCTGCGAAAAAGAAACGCAGCCTCCCACTCCCCCCTCTTCCCCACCAAGCTGGAAAATCAAAGGCACTTGCCTGTTTGCGGCTGACAGCGATGGGCATGTCGGGGTTGTCTCTCAGAAGAGGGGCGAGCAGCAGGAAGTGAGGCACCACCCAGATGAGCGTGTGGTAGAACGCCCACTCTTCAGCCACCTTCCGTTCCCGCCCACACACAACTCAAACAGCCGATACAAAGAACAAATGCTTGCCTGTTTGCGGCTGACAGCGATGGGCATGCCGGGGTTGTCTTTCAGCAGAGGGGCGAGCAGCAGGAAATGCGGCACCACCTCGATGAGCGTGTGGTAGAAAGCCCCGCCCAGCTGGTACAGCAGCGATATGAGGCGGTGGTAGTGCTGCACGCTGGTCTGGTTGGCGTGGTAGGCGAACTGCAGGGAGTGGGGGGTAGGGAAACAATAAAGTTGACGTGAACTTGATGCATCAGAGAGACACAAGTTGATGGTAGTGCTGCAAGCTTGTCTGGTTGGCGTGGTAGGCGAACTGCAGGCGGAGAGGGTGTGAGCAAGAGTGGGAGAGTGTGTAGCATGGACGGGTAGGGAGGGCGACGAGCGATAAAAAAGGTGTCAAGAACGGGAACTGCTTTGTGACTATGGAGAACAGGAAATGCCTTAAGAATGTAAACAAGGAAACTGATTTGTGACCTTGGTGGCTCACCTCACCTCACCTCACCTCACCTCACCTCACCTCACCTCACCTCACCTCACCTCACCTCACCTCACCTCACCTCACCTCCCCTCACCTCTTTGTCCTTGAAGCAGCCGTGGCGGAAGAAGTGCAGCGACTCGTTAAAGAGCACCCCGTTAGCATCCACAAACACGTCCTTGATCTCATAATACTGCGGCACATACTTATCAAATCTCAGATTATCCCCAGGGTGGGTACACCTAGGATCCGCCCCCTTCGCCCCAACCTCATCCCAATTCGACAGCTTCGGGCAGTTCTCAGGCTGGTCAGGGTAAATATAATCCTCGTCCACGAGGTTCGGCCAGAAGCAGGCTCGCACGTTCGGGAATGCCGAGCCGCAGCTGTCTAGGTTCGGGCAGGTGCCGCCCATGCAGTGCAGTTCTACCTCCCCCTTGTGCACGTTTCGGTGGTATTCCAGGAAGGTGCTATTCAGCTTGTTGCGGTAGATGCCGCGGGGGAGAGTGGTGGTTTTCAGCAGGCCTTCTGTGAAAGTGGGACGTGGTGGCAAGGATTCACTGGCGTGGTGCATGGGGGGGAAGGGAGAGGGATGCAGGGACAAGTCGCGGATATTGAAGAGTTGCTATTTAGCTTGCAGATGAATATTCTCAAGAAGCGAGGTGGTTTTCAGCAGACCTTCTGTGAACATGGGAACGACGACCCCGCATGGAAGGCGGAAACCACAAGCACACATGCAAAGGGAACAGAAGACTAACATTCCAGCGCCGTTCCCAGAGCCGGCAGTGGCAGCAGCCTTGTTTGTTGCTCCAGCCAGCTGGGCGGTGCCCTCAGGAGGCCCCTCCAACATTTCTTCAAACCAATTCACAAACATGCAAAGGGAGGAAAGACTGACACTGCAGCGCCGTCGCCAGATCCGCCAGTGGCAGCAGCCTTGGTTGTGGCAGCTCCGGCGGGCTGGGAGGTGCCGTCAGCAGGCCCGTCCAGCAGCTGCTGGTTGAGCTGCTCCTCCATCTCCGCCACGCGGCCCAGCAGCAACTCATCGGACGACTGGGCTGCTACTAGTGCTGCTGTGAGGGATGACGGATGGCATAGGGAGGGGATAGGGGGAGGGACAAGGAAGGACACTTTGACTCAATCCTAAATCCGTTGAAGGACGTAGCGCGTCTACATAACGATACGCATTTGGACGCTAAGCCCGCCGAACGACTTACTCAAAACGTTGCGCGAAAAATATAACAAACATTTGGACGCTAAGCTGACCACGCACTCAACAGCTGAATGGGATGAAGCTGAATGGTTTTCAGTCGACTAGAACACGATATTATTCATTCTTATTGGAAGCGATATAATTAAAACTTATATTCATGATAAATGTACCTGTGACAAGAGACAGCGAAATGCAATACCATGCCACGGAAGCCGTGCAGACACCCATGAGGTGCGATCGGCTCTCTAACTTTGACTCATAGATTAGGCTTGCGAAGCGAAGTGGCTTGGGACAGGTGATTTCCAAGGACCTAATTGATCAGTCGTTCAGTTTATCAGGAACAAACGTTGATGTTAGGAACGAGCTGGGAAACGTGCTGCTAGTAGGTGCTGGCTTGGTGCTGCTGGATGTGAGTCACAACCATCCACGCCAGCCCGCGTTGATCACCAGTGTCATAAGTCCCTATATAATGTCACCCATAACTCGCTGTGGATGCTAGTCTTGTCACATTTATTTTAATACATAAATAACGCAATCAAATTTGTCACAAACACACAAAAATAATCAGCGTCCCTAGAAAAACAAATATTATGATATTCATCCACTATGATGTATTTATAACTTAGAATAAGCATTTATTTAAGGCAATGAGAGCATGATTGTGTGTACGTTAAGATTGCCTATGGATATGTGAGCATGATTGTGTGTATGTTTTATGTGTCGCAGACGCACAGCAGACGCACAGCAACAGCAACAGCAATGAACGGACTCGCCTCACGGCAGCCATGGATTTTACCGAAGCCCTGGAACTCCCCAATGTACCACCTATTGTCTGATGTTCCCGTTAAAAACAACGCCATCGAGATCGTCCTCTCTCAGGGTACCTGTGGATATTTTTCAAATGTTCAAACAGAGAACATTCATCCCAACTCCCTGAGGACGAGCAGCAATCATGGCCTCGGGATTTTCAGGCGAGGTGACTCCAATGTTCAGTTTCCAAGGTTTCTTACTAACATCAAGGCATGGCACAGGCTGACTGATGCAGCCAGGGTCTCAACTACAAAGGTTTTCCAAAATGTGCTCAGACATCACGTTTCTCCAGTATTACACTGGCTTTGGTGGCTTTTTCATCATCACAATGGCTCCTCGTGTCAAGAAGGCTGCAGCTGCTGCTGTCACTGCTGCTACCGCTGCTGCTGCTGCTGCGGCCGCCGTGGCCAAAGTTGATGCTCCTGTGGTCTCTGGCGCTCCGCCAGCAACGACTCCAGCCAAGCCGAAGTCTATGTCAAGGCTCCCGCGAAAATCTGCTACCGTCATGAAGGCGTTCAAGGGTCCTTTCCAGCCTGATGAATCTGAGTCCCTGACGCTCTCGGCGAAGCTTGCTGCTATCCGCATTGAAGAGGCTGCGGGTGACGGGAAGAAGGGTAAGGAGAAAGCTGTTTTTAAAGATGCTGTCTCTGACGCTGTTCCTGAAGGTGATGATGGTTCACATGATGAAGAGGATGACAGCCATGAAAATGCGGAAGATGGTTCTGGTCCGTCAGGCATTACGCACCTGCTGAACGAAGAAGATGACGGGCTTATTGCTTATGACTCCGACGAAGAGGTGGAGGAAGCCTCTAAGGGAGAGATCGCGTCACGCTCACGCTACCCGATCACCCTCCTGGTCCCTGAACAGTTCCTGCCAGAAGTGCCCCGCACGCAGCCTACGATCAAGGGGTTGATTGGGATCTGGAAGGATGAGTTGTCGGATGCGGCACAAACCACCACGACATACCAGGAGCTGACGCCGGCTTATCTGTACAAGAAGCTTTATGGTCGCATGCAAGTCACTTTTGATAAGGCGTCTGATGCTAACCTTGTGTGGCGTAACCAGGTTGAGCATAAGTGCAAGAATGGTGATTATGTTACCTTCGACTGGCAGTACCCGGTGGACCCTGCTTTTGCCAGGCAGAAGGCGACGAACCCGGCGGCCATTGAGCTTTATTTCAAGGTCGTCCCTGCAGAGATCTCACCTGCGATGCTACTTGAAATGTTGATGGCGCCGCTCAAGAAGAAGAAGAAGTCGGTGTTCAAGGAGGGTCTCTGTTTCCATCGTGCGGTCAACTCCGTCACTGGGCTTGACACGGACCGGATCAAGGGCCTGGTGATCGCTCACGAGGGAGATCTCTACCGTTGGAAGCACTATATCGAAAATCCGCTCAACAACGACGAGATTCTGCTGATTTACTACCCGGCGCTGAAGTGCAGCTTGTGTGGAGGTCACCACTCCATTCATAACCATAATGATTTCGTCATCGAGCGGCAGAACAACATCACCAAGTGGCACCTCACCGTTGGGAGGGTCCATGAGCTGAACGGTAGCCGAGCTATTTCCGCTGTTGCTACAGGCGTCTCACCTCTTTCGCTGTCGCTTTCTCTCCGCGTCTCTCCTTGTTTACTCACATCGTTTCTCCGCAGCTGCTGCGACCACTGCATCAGATACGACCAAGATCATTCTCAAGGACCCGTCCCTGGTACTCATCTCCACCAGCGGGAATCGGGAGGAATGGGTGTGCCTCCAGGACAGCTGCGAGAAGGCCCATGGCTCGTCGTTCGAGCAAGCTGCACATCACGCGTTGTCCCAGCGGCACCGTCATGGGGCCCCGAAAGGGGGGGAATCACTCCGCGTGCTGAAGGGGAAGATCAACCTCAAGCACCTGATGAAGGATTTCGGCCTGTAGCAGGGGGAGAGTTCTGCATCAGCCGGGAAGGAGATAGATTAGTGTCTGTAGGGTTCATTGAGTCTGTATGCATTTTCTATAAAACTGCCGTCGTCTCTCACAGCCCGTGGATGCTTGGGGCTTCTCCGTGGTTTCCCAATGAATAAAGCTTCGTTCCTGAACATACGCGAGCTCAACGTCAACGGGCTCGGGAGCAGGGGAAAACAGAAACATTTGAAGGCATGGATTAAGAAGCCGCCAGATATCTTCACTCTAGTTGACACGCGTATCGGCCCTGATCATGGGTTCTGGAAGTCACTCAAAGTGCCACACTGCCACGCGATCGGTCCTGCGGGGAAGGCAGGGGGGGTAGCCATCTTAAGTTTTAACAAGTCCTTGGTCTTCACTAACGTCGTCGCGCACTGTTCAGGCCGACTGCTTCAGGTGGATGTCCAGTGGGAATCCTTCTGTTGCACGCTGCTGGCGGTGTACTTCCCTGCGAAAGCCTGCAGCCGTCGTCCTTTTTTCCAGGACACACTGCGCCCGTTCCTGGCTCAGGCAGCGGGGAAGCAGCACATGGTCATCATCGGGGATTTGAACGTGGTTGAGGATCCAATCCTGGACAGATCGTCCAAGATGGGCTCGGCCGGGGAAAACGACAGACTGATGCAGACCTGCGCAGCACACTGTCTCACTGATGCTTACCGATGGATGAATCCTGGGGTGCGAGAGTTTACGTTTTTCTCGAGGGCTTCAAAGTCCAGTTCTCGCATTGACCGCGCGCTTGTTTCAGCAGCGTTGTTGCCGAAGCTCGCCGACGCGTCCCACTGTCGTCCGTTGAAGGGTCTTTCAGACCACTGGTTTGGGGTGAAGATCGCCCTGAAAGTCCACCTGCAACTTCACGTGGGGCCGGGAATTTGGAGATTTAGAGCGTCTGACGCGGGCAAGGCGGGCGCGGCAAAGGTAGTCGCTGTGGTCCGTGACGTGCATGGCGCGGAAGGCTCGGGAGATTTCGAGCTGCTGATGACGCGCATGAACGCGGCGCTGCGGAGGTTCGCGACGGAGGAGGGGAAGCGGGTGAAAGCGACGCTACGGCATCTGGTAACGGCGGTAGCGGTTTTGCAGCAAGAAGTGATGAGGGAGCCGGAATGTCAGTCTCGGAGAGACGCCTTGACGGAGAAGGAGGCTCAGCTGGCCGCGTATCTCTCCTCGGAGCAAGAGAGACTCGCGCTCATGTCAGGGGTAAAGGAGCTGCGCAGTGGGGAAATGCCTGGGAAGCTCCTATCTGCGAAAGTCAAGGTGCGGAAGGAAAGGACCATGATCCCATCGCTGAAATGGAAGGGGACGGAGCACAAGGACAACAAGAGCATTCTGAGCGCGGCGTCGGAGTTCTACGCGGATCTTTTCGCCGAGCCCCCGCCGCCGGGGGAGATGCCGACCTGGCCGATTGACCCGCGCAAGCGGCTGTGGGAGGAGGACAGGGAGCAGCTGGATGCGGAATGGTCGGAGGATGAAGTCAAACAGGCGCTCAAGGACATGGCAAACGGCAAGTCCCCGGGTGCGGACGGGATCCCCAAGGAGTTTTACAGTCGCCACTGGGACCTGCTGGGCGGGGATCTTCTCGGGTTCGTGTGGAAGTTCGAGGAAACGGCGATTTTACCGGCATCTGCGCAGGAGGCAGTCACCATCCTCCTGCACAAGAAGGGGCCGAGGGACCAAGTTCAGAACTACCGGCCGATCACGCTTCTGAATAGCACGTACAAGCTGATCGCCCGGGTGATTGCTAACAGAATGAGGAAGGTGCTGGACAAAGTGATCTCGGAAGAGCAATATGGATTCTTACCGGGCAGAAGGCTTTCTGACGGCGTTTCGCTTATCGCTAACGTGGTTGAGGCAGCAAAAAACAAAAATGAAGATTGGTACCTCCTGCTTGTGGACTTCCAGAAGGCCTTCGACTCTGTCTCACGTGATTTCTTGTTCACAACGATGGAGCGGATGGGTTTTTCGCGGAGGTTTGTCGGGTGGTGCAGAGGCCTGCACGAGGGTTCATCTACGAGGCTGCTCCTTAACGGTTGGCTGGGGGAGAGCGTCGCCGTCCGGAAAGGCGTGCGGCAGGGGTGTCCACTTGCGCCGTACTTGTTTCTCTGCGCGGTAGAACCAATCTGCCAAGAGGCAAAAAGAAGGAAACTGGGGATCAGTAACCCGTTTGGCGGAAGGCTGGCCTACCTGGGGTACGCGGACGACACGACGTTGGTGCTGGATGGCAAGCGGCAGATTGGTCGGGCGGTGAAGCTGCTCGAAGATTTCGGGGAGAGGTCAGGCCTCCGGGTAAACATGGAGAAGTCAGCCCTCCTTCCGCTGGGGAGCAACGTGACGAAAAAGGCAGACAAAGACTCATTATTTCGCTGGGTAAAGCCAAATGAAGCGGAGCGACTACTTGGAGTATGGATCTCGCCCTCTGGGGACGCGGCCGTAACATGGGAGATTACGCTGGAACGGGCAGCTGCGGAGTTCGGGAAGTGGCAGGTCCACTACCTGACCACTACGGCGAGAGTAGTGGTGGTGAACGGCTACGTGAACCCCATCCTCGCCTTTCAAGCGCAAGTGTATGCACCTCCCCCGGAGATCTGGGCGAAGATCGTGAAGCTGCTCCACAACTTTGTATCTGGAAACCACGCGACAGCGGGGAAGCAGTTCGCGCTCTGGAGCCAGGAGTTGCTGTTTAAGCCACGGAAGGAGGGAGGTCTGGGCGTCCGAGATCCCTTCACGGAGCTGGGTGGCTATGCCGCGAGGCGGGTGGCGCTTCTGATGTCGCAGCAAGGCGGGTCTCGTGCTGACCTGGCACACACGGCAGCAGACATTCAGGATTGTCAAGTCTTCTGGGGGCACAAGGACCAGATGAAGCAGTGGAAGGGGAAAAGCGACAGATGGAAGCGCACCTGCGAGCTCTTCCTGGAGTCCAACTTTGCGGAGAGTATCGTGGCGTCCACGGTCTGGGAGGTGGAGCAGGAGCTGTTGCTGTACAATCGCTGCCTCCTGCCGAACGGGAAGAAACCTGCGGGGAGGCAAAACGCGGCAAAAGGGCTTGCGCGATCAACCATGCGGGACCTGATAGTTGTTCACCCAGATGGTTCCAGAACGCTGAAAACTGAGGAGGAAATGGGAAGATCCTTCGGGGGAGATGCAGGAGGGAAGCTGGCAAAGCGGATTTTCGACGCAGCCCCTGACGAGTGGAAGCAGCTGCTGCTAACACCAATCACGGCGGAGAAAGTCGTGGAGGTATCTGGTTTTGTATTAAAGGCGGGGACCAGCCATGGCCTCTGGAAGGTGGTCAGTGCAGATGGCAACTTGCTAGTCTGCCGAGCATTCCGCTGCGTCTCTGGCGTGCTAGGTGATGCAGAGGAGCGTTACTGCACGCTGCATGTTTGGGAGGTGACTCCTGCCGTCATCAGGGAGGGGCGCTTTCTGGGGCCTGCGGGGAGCCCCAAAGCGAGGTTGCTGTGCTCACCAATATGGGAAGGTGGCTGTCCGGCAAAACTCAAACAGCTTCGGAAGGGTTTTGAGAGGCTTGGTGGGAAGCCGGGGCAGCAGACTGCTTGGGAGGAGGTACGGGGCCGCCCGATCGACTGGCAGAGGGCGATAAGCGTGCGGGACTCAGAAGCTATTCCAAACCGGGCGCGTGACGTGCTGCTCCGGATCCACAGTAGAAACCTGCAAGTAGGAGAGAGGTTGCATTTTCTCGGAGCGGCGGTCGCTTGCGCGCATTGTGGGGAAAGGGAAACGCTGGAACACGCACTCTTCCACTGTCCGCGCATTCAGCCGGTGGTCCGGGCGCTGCTGAGAGCAATTCGCATGCTCAATCCGAGGAGGAAGGTGGAGTCGTTGGGGGATCTCCTGTTCCAGAAAGCGGGGTCAGGCTCGGGTTTTCCCGAGGCTACCATCACGTCAATCGCTCTACATAGGATTTGGGTGAAAAGGTGTGATGTGGTTTTCGAGAGGAGCAAATTCCGGGCAAGGAGGGTCCTGCGGAGAATCGCGGCGGCTTTCCAGTTGCATGTCAAGATTTACACTCGTGCTAAGGCAGCGAAGCGGAGGCTTGGTGTTTCTCGTGCCAACCTGGACGGGGATGAGCGCCGAGCCATGGATAGAATATGGGACACGTCGATAAAGCCGGCCACGTGGGCGAAAGGTTTCATGTCCCTGTGGTCGAATCCGAAGGCTGCTTTCCGTCCTCCGTAGAAGGTCAGGGTGGGTACGGAAGGTGCATGCCTCCTAGGCCCACCAGCTACAGTTACGACTGCTGATGTATTGTGCACTTTTTATAGTGTATCTTTCATCGAAAAAAAAAAAAAAAAAGTTAAGATTGCCTATGGGCATGAGGTTAACAAATGTTCAAAAATGAGTCCGAAGTGTACAAGATGGCCATCCATGCCAGGCGATGACCTTTCTGACGGAATGCAGAAGCCTCTGACTGTTTTAAGTATTGCAGTCTGCAGAGCCCACGGATTTTGAAATTTGGCGCGGAATCCTGGTGACAGGCTCGAGGCGGCTCGGGCTGGCTGTCACCCCTTCCCCCATGCCTGCTATGGTGTGGCATAGCATCATAGAATGACATTCATTCGGGCTGGCGTTGCATTGGAATAATCGCACAGAAGAGTTGTGAATGCGTTCAATTCGTTCTCTTCATTTCGAGTCCCGCCTGAGCTTTTCTCTAGGTACCGATTGTGCTAGTCAACAGTCACTCAGGTTCCTTCTCTTTATCCTACCTGTGGGAACAAGCTTAGGAGCCAGAGAGCACTCATAGACATGGATATCGACGAATATATGAGCGATGATGAGAACTTCATTCCACTCGTAAGTACGCAAGCTATCTTCGCACTTCATTATACTACCAGGCGGTTCTCTTGACGGTGATTAATGGATTGCGTCGCAGACGAAGAAGAAGGCTGCACCGAAAGCTGCGGCGAAGAAGGCCAAGGAACCTCTTCAGCTCAGCACGGCAGCAAACATCAGCAAGGGAAGGACAATTGAGCAGACATACCAGAAGAAAACTCCGCTAGAACACGTCCTCCTAAGGCCAGACACTTACGTCGGATCAGTTCAGAGCCACACGCAGACCTTATGGGTCTACGAAAATGGCAGAATGGTACATCGCGAGACGACCATCGTCCCTGGCCTGTACAAAATCTTCGACGAAATCCTCGTCAACGCCGCCGACAACAAACAGAGAGATCCCTCCATGGACTTGCTCAAAGTGCACATTGATCCAGAAAAGAACATGATTAAGGTAAGCTGCGTGCTAGAATAGCAAAGACTGGGTCCATATGTGCGACGAAGTCGTTCTCACGGATAAACCTTTCCTGGCTTCAGGTGTGGAACAACGGCAAGGGTGTTCCGATCGAGATTCACGCAGACGAGAACTGCTACGTCCCGGAGATGATCTTTGGCCATCTCCTCACCAGCAGCAACTACGACGATACAGAGAAGAAGACGACGGGTGGTCGGAACGGTTATGGTGCGAAGCTCGCTAACATATTCTCCACGGAATTCGTCATCGAGACTGCCGACGGCGAACGCAAGAAGCAATATCGTCAGGTAGGACGTTCACCACAACAATGCAAGGTCGTTATTCAGTACTTTATTGACATGTTATTCGTTATTCAGATGTCTCGTCCGATGCTTTCTTCCTGGTTCTCACGGGATTTTCCTGGCATTGTCAACAGGTTTTCAATGACAACATGAGCAAGAAGTCGGAGCCCGAGATTACGAAAACGAGGTCCGGAGAAAGCTGGACGTGCGTGACGTTCCACCCAGACCTGGCAAAGTTCAAGCTGACTCATCTTGATGCTGATCATGTGGCCCTCATGAGCAAGCGTGTGGTTGACATGGCTGGAGTGCTCGGGAAAACTGTCAAGGTCGAGCTGAATGGAAGCAAGATTTCCCTGAAGAACTTCCAAGATTACGTCGGACTTTACCTCGACTCACCCAGGTCAAGCGGTGAAGTCCCTGGCCCACTGCCGAAGTGAGTGAAATTAGCGTTAGTGCCTGGTTAGCTTTCATTAGTTTCGAACTCGTCAATGTGAGCTGAATCGTTCTGATTTTTTTGGCAGGATTTACGAGAAGGTCAACGACAACTGGGAGGTTTGTGTTTCACTGAGTGACGGCCAGTTTCAGCAGGTCAGCTTCGTCAACAGCATTGCGACAATCAAGGGTGGCACCCATGTCAATCTTGTCGCTGACCAACTGACCAAGTTCCTCATAGAGAAGGCCCAGAAGAAGGCAGGGAAGGGTGCACCGGCTATTAAGGCCCATCAAGTGAAGTGCCACTTGTGGGTCTTTGTGAACTCGATGATCGTCAACCCGGCATTCGATTCGCAGACCAAGGAGACGTTGAACACCCGGGCGAGCGAGTTTGGCTCCACGTGCAAGCTACCGGACACTTTTCTTCAGAAAGGTAATTCTAGTTCGTTCTTGTTTTCCTGGCAAAGTCGCAAGCTGGACAGCTACTGACCTGCAGTGTATTTCGTTTTTTGCAGTCGCAAAATCGGGTGTGATCGACAGTATCCTCTCGTTCGCGACCTTCAAGGCGAACAAGGACATGAAGAAGAGCGATGGAAGCAAGAAGCAGCGGCTCACGGGAATTTCGAAGCTGGACGATGCGAACGATGCAGGTGGACGCAACTCCGAGCAGTGCACCCTGATTCTTACGGAGGGAGACTCTGCGAAGGCTCTTGCTGTAAGTGCCTGAGAGTGATGCGCTTGATGCTTGTGCTGCAATAGAGCACCGCAATTCTAAGATACCTAACCTTTTCTCTGTTTTCTCAGGTGAGCGGCTTGAGTGTTGTTGGTCGTGACAAGTACGGAGTATTCCCGCTGCGTGGGAAGCTACTGAACGTCAGGGATGCACCTGCCAAGCAGTTAACAGAGAACGCAGAGATCACCAACATCAAGCAAATCATGGGGCTTCAGCAGGGAAAGCACTACGACAGCACCAAATCCTTGCGATACGGCCATCTGATGATCATGACTGATCAGGTAAGCAGCTCGGACAATTTTAGACATCTCGGGGGGAGAACAGCCCGTAAAAGTCTCATTTGAGGAGTCTCGCAATGCAGGACCACGATGGATCGCATATAAAGGGCCTCCTCATCAACTTCCTCCACGCCTTTTGGCCGTCACTTCTGAAGCAACCCAACTTCCTGCTGGAGTTCATCACGCCCATCGTCAAGGTCAGATGATTCTTGCAGACAACTCCGAGATTCTCTTGCTCAATATAGAAGCAAATCTAATCTTTACTATGCGTGCTGTGCAGGCTACTGGGCCCCGTGGAAAGGTTCTTTCCTTCTACACCATGCCCGAGTACGAGTCTTGGAAAGAATCCCTTGGAGGAAGTACTAAAGGATGGTCCATCAAGTACTATAAGGCAAGTTCCTGTGCTGTTGCCTACGGCACTAGATGTTTCTGAAACTTCAAACTTAACATTCTCTGTTTGTGGCCTCACAGGGTCTGGGAACAAGCACTCCGAAGGAAGCTAAAGAGTATTTTGCAGCCCTTGATCAGCACCGGAAGAGCTTTGAGTGGAGCGGAGAAGAGGATGGCGAAAGCATTGAAATGGCGTTCAGCAAGAAGAAGGTGGAAGACAGGAAGACCTGGCTGCGTAATGTGGAGGTACATACGCGTGCCATGTGTTTCTGATGTTCTGGTCTCTTGTCTTGGTACAGCACATGTGTTAAGTTCTTCTATCGGTTGTTATTTTCAGCCTGGGACGTACCTCGATCAAAGTGCGAAGACGATCACCTACAGCGACTTTGTCAACAAGGAGCTGGTCCTGTTCTCCATTGCGGACAACCTGCGATCCATTCCATCTGTCATGGATGGCCTCAAGCCTGGCCAGAGAAAGATCCTCTTCAGTTGCTTCAAGAGGAAGCTGAAGAGTGACGTGAAGGTGTGGAAACCGTTATCTGGCAAGTTGTTCTTGGAGTAAAAAATCTGCTCAGCTGTCAGTAACTGAGTGCGTTTGCGTATGCTCTGTCTCATCAGGTGGCACAACTGGCTGGTTACATCTCCGAGCACTCGGCATACCACCATGGTGAAATGAGCTTGATGACCACCATCATTGGTCTCGCCCAGGATTTCGTGGGTAGCAACAACATCAACCTGCTGGTACCCAGTGGCCAGTTTGGCACCCGCCTTCAGGTACGTCAGGAAGACATTGCGTGGCATTTCTTCTTCCCGTTCAGCTTCATCGACTGCTAGCTGACTCCTGTTATTTTTTGGTTGCTGAATGCAGGGAGGGAAAGATGCTGCCAGCCCTCGTTACATCTACACCAGGCTGCACAAACTCACACGGATTCTTTTCTCGGAGGTGGACGATGCCCTTCTGGACTTCCTGAACGAAGACGGACAGAAGATTGAGCCGACATGGTATGCTTGTGATGATTCCAATCATCACATGAAGGTCTTACGTGATTTTCCTGAGTGCCCAGTCCTCATCATGAGCTTGCATGATTTTTGCAGGTACCTTCCGATCCTCCCCTTGGTCCTTGTCAACGGAAGTGAAGGGATTGGCACTGGGTGGAGCTCCTATGTGCCAACGTTCAACCCGCGCGACATCGTTGACAACCTCAAGCTGCTGATGAGGGGCGAGGAGATGGAGCCGTTGCACCCCTGGTTCCGTGGGTTCAAGGTAGGCTTAGCCTGATCAACACCTTGTTGGGTATCTGTTCAATTGTTTCGTCACATTTCTGTGACTAACAAGTTTTTGTTATCTTCTTCGTTTTCTTCCTCCAGGGAACTGTGGAACACAACAGCAACAAGGACGGTCGGAACTACATCGTGACTGGAACCATCAACAAGGTCAGCGACACCGTTCTGGAGATCACGGAGCTGCCCATCCGAACCTGGACGCAGAACTACAAGGAGTTCCTGGAGGGGATGATGGTGGTAAACGACAAGAACAAGGAGCCATTCATCAAGGTACATAACACTGCTGGCGGGAGTGTTTTTTTGCAAATGCTTAAATCACTGGATAACGCTAACATGCTTTTGTTTTGAACTGCAGGACATGCGGGAGCATCACACTGACACCACTGTGCATTTTGAGGTGCACTTGTCGCCAGAGGGAATGGCGACTGCGGAGGCTGAAGGTCTGATCAAGCGCTTCAAGCTGACGGCATCAGTAGCAACCAGCAACATGCATCTCTTTGACAAGGATGGGAGGATGAGGAAGTACGAAACTCCGGAAGAAAGTAAGAAACACAACAACATCAGCTATTTTCCGGCCATGGGGGGTTGTTGCTCTCCTAATGACACAGAGGGTCTAATGTTGCTCATTCGATCTGTACTCCTGCAGTCATTGAGGAGTTTTATCACATTCGGCTGGAGTACTACAGGAAGAGAAAGGTAATGGACGTTCGACTTGAAATGTGGCCCTGTTTTGCACATTCTTTAGACATGCTCGTGAGTTTATTGACCTGACGTTGTCTTGTTGACACTCGATTTACAGGATATTCAACTGGAGCAACTTCGAAATGAACTCATCAAGCTGGACAACAGAGTGAGGTTCATCCTTGCAGTTGTGCGTGGAGAGATCATCGTCAGCAACAGGAAGAAGGCGGAGCTTCTGGCTGAACTCAAGGTAAGGCTTTCCTGCTCCATGGTTATCCTGCTATTTGTGGTTATTTATAGCGGAGTTGACGAATTTGCGGTTATTCATCTGATTTTCTCTTGCAGGAGAAGAAGTTTGCACCCTTGCCAAAGGGCAAGGTCATCTCGAGTGGTGGTTCATCCACAGCAGCAGATGAGGAGGGTGAAGATGAGGAGGAGTCGGGTGAAGAGGAAGGGGGCTCGAAGGCTAAGAAGGGGGGCGATGGTGGCTATGACTATCTTCTTGGCATGCCACTGTGGAGTTTGACCCTGGAGAGGGTTCAAGAGCTGCTGAGGGATCAGAAGAAGAACCAAGACGACCACGATGCTCTGTTGAAGACGGAGCCCAAGGACCTCTGGGAGAGAGACCTGGACATGTTCCTTGAGGAGCTTGAGGTACGTTGTTACCATCCAGCGCATTGAAACTCGTTCTGTTACTTGGCCGTGCTTGGCCGTCTCTTCTCCCAATCTAAAGCAGTGTATGTTGCATATATCAGGTTGCGGAGGAAGAGGCGGCTCAGGAGAAGGCCAAGGAGGTGGCAGGCAAGCCTGGCAAGGGGAAGGGTCGTGTTACCAAGGCAGTGGCTGCCAAACCCAAAAGGGCACAGAAGAAGGCTCAAATCTTCAGTGATGAGGAGATGGATTTCATCTCAGACTCAGATGATGACTTCATGGAAGGTATGGATAACAAGCTCGGCCAGGCTTGATCACTTGCATTACTTTAACCATCCATATTCTGACGTCCTCACATTTCTGTCCTGCAGATGCCAAGGTGAGGCGAGGAAAGGGCGCTGCCGCTACTGCAGCAAAGCCGACAGCAGTGGCTGCTACAACAAAACCACAGGCATCCGTACCTCTTGTTCAGGTGTGTTGATCAAGGGCCTGTGTGAGTGGGGGCTGCATCCGTCCAAATGTTTCCAGAAGTTGATGCGTACCTGCAGAAATTGACGCATACCTGTACCATCAATTGTGAGGTCTGCTGACATCTTCTGCGATACTCCTCTTTTTTCAGGCACCAAAACCGGAGGTGGTCAAACCTGCTCCCAAGGCGAAACCTGCTCCCAAGCCAAAAGAACCTGCTGGATCTGTACGTTTTTTCTCTATTCTGTTCGTCTCTGTATCACGTGCAGCCATGTTTTACATGCAACCACGTGTTCCATTGGACGTGTGTGATACACATCCCTGTATCACATTCAGCCCTACATACTGTGCCGCCCTGTATCTCACGCACCGCTATGTCACATGAAGCTGTGGTTTCATATGCATCCCCATATCACACCCTTCACTGCATATCACTCGCCGCCTTAACTCAAGATTTCAGGGCGTCTGCTGTGGGGGCCAAGCTAACTTTTGCCTTGATCTCCATGTCTTCAGGATTACGACAGTGATGAGGACTTCGGAGGAAGCCTCAGGGAGAGGCTTGCAGCCATGGCAGCGAAGATGTCGCTGCAAGAAAATCCTTCAGGGGGAGGTTAGTAAAAATGCACCATCTAGTCCATTCACGGGCCAGATGCATTTCCTGAATGCTGACGCTCGTTTTGGTTCTCCTTTCAGCTTCCACAGCAGAAGTGAAGCCCGCAGCTTCCAAGAGAGAACCTGCCAAGAAGGCCGCCACAAAGCGACCTGCCACCAAGAAAATGGAGGAGAAGGTTGGTGTCTGTTTCGTTTGCTAGTGTCTTCCAAGACTGCTCTGTGTGATTGGCTGTGACTGATGTTTCATCGTTCTGAATTTTGCAGGTGGAGAAACCAGCTCTTGGTGATGAGTTTGAATTCCTTGATGAGGTGGACATTAAGTCTCCTGTGAAGGAGCCTGTGAGCAAGGTGCAACGAATGCGCCCATCGCCTTTTAGCAAGAAGAGCGGTATGCCAGCAGCTGCAGCAGCAGAAGGTCGCACCCATCTCTCCCGTGGGGCTCAAAAGAAGCCGGCTGTGGTGCTCAGTGATGACAGCAATGAGAGTGAGGAGAGCGAGGACGATTTCCAGGACTTCAGCGAGGAGGAGTACTAGGTTGTCAGGCACTGTAGGATTCAAGAAGGCACGAGGTTCAAGCTGGTTTGACCCTCAGCCATCAACATCTTTATGAACATCTATGTAGTCTCAAATGTCAAGCATACATTCCAGATACAACTTGGGTTGAGTGCACACGGAAATTTGAGAACAAGAGTTCACTTCACAGTGTGCTCTGCTCTCTGCTGGTGAGCCATAGCGTCCAAACAGCCTTGCAGAATATACACTGCAGATATCTTGTCTGTTAGCTGCTTCTCCAACACAGCGTGCAAACCAAGCCCCTGAAGAACCCCTGTTGCCGATGCAGTAGAAAGCCTCTCATCCCACAGCAAGTGTGGAACACTATGGAGGTAGGGGCAGTGCCTGGCAATGTCCCCAGACAGAAAGTCCTGAATCACAGGCGTCATGTTGGAGCGCCCTCCGAACAGCTCTAAGGGAAACCCCACAACCATGCCAGCAACGGAGCGAGAGCGAGCAATGGAGTCAAGCATTCTCAATGAAACGGGCCGGTTTCGGAGGGTTTGAGCCATTGAAGAAAGATGAGTGTTGGCGGGTCTACTATAGTTGCTGCTGGTGCTGCTGTTGCTGCTCGAAGGGCTGGAAGCTTTGTGGCTCGGGCTAGAAAATGCAGATATTTTCTGCACACTGCTGTCTGCATTACGATTCTGACTCTCCTCAAAAGCAGCTGCATCGCCGTTTCTTGCTTCCCCCACATCTCCGTTGCCACCGCCGCCTACGGATCCGTCATCAGTCCCAAACCCACTCCCGCCATTGCTGCTGCTGACGCTGGCGTCACCTTGCTCCTTCCTCCTCTGCCATCGCCTGTTGGCGACAGGCAGAGGCGATGCCACTCGATTTGCGGCGTCGGAGACGGCGACACCAACAAGCGCGGTCCCTACGTCCAATCCGAGCAGTCGACCGCCTGGTGACACCGCGAGCAGGTGACTCATTTCGGCAAGAGAGACAGGACGCATCGCGTGTGAGACGATTTTAGGGGTTGAGCAGGTTCTAGGAGACACTGGCGAGAAAATCAGACTAATGTCAAGCGAGGATGTCGTAGAAAAAGAGCAAATGTTGCAACTTGAGGGGTTTTCAGGACAACGGAGGAACTACCAATTGCGCATGCTCTCGTGATTACGTGAAAGAGCCAAAGAAGCAAGCCACCCAACACATGAGTGCTTTTGTAGGGTCATCCCCGACCCTATCAAACTTGGTCCCTTGAAGATCGACTTGTCGAAGACGTTCGCTGATTACGCTGTAACCCTGCCGTTGCCTGTTTGGAGGTAATTTCGTAGATAAGAAATTGTAAAGCGAACTATTCATCGTTTCGCTAATGGCTTGCATCACTGGGGATGAACTTTGTTCCCAGTCTGCGAGGTGTTGTTACTGATGCAAGGCAATGAATCCAGGCCAACAATGGAATACACGATTGCATTACGCTCGTATCGCGATTCTGTTTTTTAATAACGGACCTCTCTCCCTCCTTCCGTCTTTCTCGTGTGAACTTGTACTGTAGTAGCGGAATCTCGTAACTTGTAAGTTCCACCTTCCTTCGCTGCTGCCATCCATCGCGCCTCAGAATGGCTGTTCCTGACGAAGCCATGCTAATGTCAGCGCTACGTCAGCACCTCCCCGTAGAATCCGGGAAGTTCCGCATCGCGCGGGATTCGCGCGTGGGATTGGTGATCGTGGATGAAGTCAACGGCTTTTGCACTCCCGGCGCGGGGAATCTGGTGAGTGGGCGGAGTGAGAGGCGGGTTAACCCGCCTTGAGTCGATTCAGTTGAATCTGGTGAGTGGGCGGAGCGGGAAGGGGAGGCGCAGGTTTCCACCTTGAGTCGACTCAATATGTGCGCGTGGGATTGGTGATAGTGGATGAAGTCAACGGCTTCTGCACTCCTGGCGCGGGGAATTTTGTGAGCGGGGGAGGGAGAGGCGGAAAGAGAGGCAGCCGCGCAGGGAATCTAGTGAATAGAGGTAGATGAAAATTCAGAATGATTTTGGTTGGTACAGGCCCACGGCTTCTGCACTCCAGGCGTGGGGAGCCTGGTGAGTGGGGGGAGGGACGGGCTGAATGAGTAGGGTAGGAGTTAGTGCTTCAAGATTATTCATCTTCCATTTCGTGTCCGGTGCCTTGTTACACACTGTCCCTCTCTCTTTCAACGCCGCATCCGCCTCCCTTCTATCCCGCTCATCCAATCCCTTTCTCTTCCTTTTCCCCATCCCTCCCACTCCTCTCCCCCTCCTATCCCCTTTACAATCACGCCTCCTTTCCCGCTATCTCTTTCCAAAGGCCCCTCCTGTCAGAGACGAGCAGATAGAGACCATGGTGTCGCGAACATCCTCGCTAGCTAATGACATGCTGACACGTGGCATGCCTGTACTGGCCTTCCTGGACACCCACGAGGCAGACAAGCCAGAGCCACCGTATCCCCCGCACTGCGTGCGAGGCACGGGGGAGGAGAAGTTGGTAGAGGGTGAGTGACTGTATGATGTGTGACCGTATGAAGGGAGACCAATGTATTCAGACAAGCCAGAGCAACCGTACCCCCCCGACACTGTGTGCGAGACACGGGGGAAGAGATAATGGTAGAGGGTGAGTGAATGTAGGGTGTGTGACTATTGGAGGTGACTAGTGAGAATTCTAACAAGCCAGAGCCACCGTACCCCCCACACTGCGTGTGAGGGACAGGGGATGAGAAGCTGGTAGAGGGTGAGTGATTGTATGGTGTGTGACCTCAATGTGCGTGTGACTATTGGAGGTGACTAATGAAAACTTTAACAAGCGAGGCACCGTACCCCCCCCACTGCGTGCGAGGGACAGGGGAGTAGAAGCTGGTAAAGAGGGTGAGTGACTGTATGGTGTGTGATTGTAAGAGGTGACTCATGGGAGCTCAGACAAGCCAGAGCCACCGTACCCCCCCCATTGTGTGCGAGGCACAGGGGAGGAGAAGATCGTAGAGGGTGAGTTGTGACAGCGCGAGTGACTGTATGGGGGGTTTATTTTTGGCGAGTTAGTGGGTACCTTAGCAGAAAAGCCAGAGCCTTCATACCTGCGAGACACAGGGAATGTAAGCTGGTAGAGGGTGAGTGACTGTATGATGTGTGACTGTGCTGTCTCTTGCTTCCATTATCCTACTTGCTGTCTGTTCCTCTTCTCTTCTCTTCCTGCAATCAACCCTCCGCACTTATGTTATTCTTAAGCTTTCCGCCCATCCATGCCCAATGCAGCTAGCAGCCTTGCCTCTTAATGCACCTCAAAATTCCTTCGCCTTTCCTAGACCAGATTCCATTCTTAGCCTGTCTCAATGCACCTCAAAATTTCTTTGCCCTGCTTGTCTGTATGTCCGTTGCAGCTCTGGCGTGGCTTGAGAAGGAAGCGAGCAGGGAAGGAGAAGCCGTTGCAGCAGCATCTGATGCTCATGCCCGTGTGACCAGAGGCAGTGTGACTCTAATGGAGAAGGACTGTATTAACGGGTTTGTGGGCGGCATGCAACCGGATGGGACAAACATTGTGATGCAATGGGCGATCAAGCACCAACTAGAACATGTACACTTCTTTTCTCCCCCACATTATTGCACTCGCCCTCCTCCTCTCCACTCCTCCCTCCACACTCCCCTCTGCTGCATTTACCCTAATTTCTTTCTATCCTGTTTCCCCAAGCCTCTCCACTCCCTCCTCCACTTGAGCCCCTAATCTCAGTATGTTCTCATGCATACTTGCTGCTCCTCCTCGCCCATCTACCTGCGTTGCAGATTATCGTGGTTGGCATCTGCACAGACATTTGCGTCATGGATTTCGTGCTGACCGCACTGTCTGCCCGAAACCACGGGTTGTTTGGGCAGCAGCTAAAGGAAATTGTGGTAGTTGCTCCTGCCTGCTCCACATACAACCTGCCCCGGCCCGTTGCTGAGAGCCTTGGGAGGGGCGCCACTGCATCGCATCCTCAGGTACAGTGTCGATGCTACAGTGCCAATGGCCCATTGTTACAGAATATTATCATAACCTCTTTCATTCTTTCAAATATTATCATAGCCTCTTTTCTGTGCATGTCTGACACAAATCGATTGTGTTTCAGCGTAGTAATATCTTGCTTTCACAAGCCCGGCACGCCCTGGTCTCTTTCCTTGAATTGCTATACGTTCGTTGGCCACAGGATGCCACCCATCACTTGGGTCTATATTTCATGCATTCTCGAGGTGCCATCATCGTGGATGAGCCTATCTTTGACTAAAAATGACACAGTAACTGTAGACATATCGTCTGTATGTTTAGGATGAAATAAGCTGTTTTTCTTGTTCAGAAAGCAAAAATTGTTATGCTACGAAAGTTATTGTAACTCAATTTGCTGTGCACAACTTCAAGTATAATCAGAACTCCAGTAGCGGGTACCGCCGCACGATCAGTAGGATTAGGACGCGGTTAAAGTAGACGAACGACGGTCAGTAGCGATCGATGTGCGGATCGGTTACTCTATTACTACGCTGTAACAATGCTACAGTATGCTTTCTGGCCAAAATTTCTGTACAGTGTGAGAATGCGACTGATCACTGTTCGCGGGAAATCTGTCAATTTTCAGCCGCCATCGTTACAGCGTCGCGGTCGCCACGTTTCGCCAAACGATCTGCCCACTCGATTGTGGGGATCGATATAGGCAGACGAACCTGCGATATTTGCACTTTTAGCGCGTCCTTAGCGCGGGACATGCGTGCACCACTTCCGCATTCGCAATACCCAGGCCCTTGCGCTTCTAGTGACAACGCGGCCGTGCATACCCTGCTTCTGACCGTCATTCTAGGCGCCTTAAGAGCATAGCCTGCTGCTGACCGTCAGCCGTTAGCTGCTGACCGGCGTTTGAGCCGTCTTATGAGCCTGATAACGTAGTGCGGGAACTCCTTCCGCGATGGGATCGGCGCGCTTCTCCGCGGTCCCGCTCGCTCTTCTCTGCTTCATCGTCGCCGTTCGTCTGGCGCGTAAGAGCAATCACTGACCGTTGCGTGTTCGTAAGGCCGGCACTCGTTGATTGCCAGCTTGATCCTCCTTATTAGAAGCCTCGAAAGACGTCCTTTGAACTGATTCGAAATGCGAACTGGCATTGGCCGAGTACCAGCTTGGTTCATACTGTAATCAGACACTTACTGTCATATTGTAAATGGGAGACGCTCGGGAGTCCTTGCTAGCACTGCAGCGCGTTAGGAGATCGTAGCGCTGTAACGACTCATTAGTAACTCTTTATAAATCGACTAAAAAGGCACTGCAGCGTGTCTAGGAGATCGTACCGCTGCAACGGCTCATAAGTGTTTCCGTCAGACGTTTGTAGGGCGTGCGCGCTGCGCCGCTGGCATTTGCCTTACCCAGCGTGGTTCACATGAAGTCGTGAAGTGGAGACTCAAGGGAGACAACTTTTGAGGCGCCTCAAAAGCCTCAAGGGAGACAACTTTTGAGGCGCCTCAAAAGACTCAAGGGAGACAACTTTTGAGGCGCCTCAAAAGACTCAAGGGAGACAACTTTTGAGGCGCCTCAAAAGACTCAAGGGAGACAACTTTTGAGGCGCCTCAAAAGGCCTGACCCAGCTGGGTTCATATTAAGTCGTAAAATGGCGACTCAACGGAGTCCCTACCAGTGCTGCAGCGGTAACCGTGTGTGTTCTGAGAGTCCACTCAAAACACACCTTCAAGATTCGTGTCCTGTAATATGTGCTGTGAGCATGTGCTGTGAGCATGTGCTGTAAAGTCCGTCTTGGCTGTACAGCCCTTGCTCAAATTCCTCCGCTGACCTGGCCTGGCTGGCTGACGCGGCTCTATTCTCCTGGTGCTGACGTGGCAGCGGCTGCAGGAGCGGACGATGAGCCAATCATAGTGCCGGAGATGATTGAGGGCGCGGAGGTGGTGCCCAAGGGGCCGGACGCGGAAGACGCGGCGCTGCTGGACCGACTAACAGAGATGGGAACCACTCTTAGCGAGCAGATGGAGAAAGGGTGAGTGTGGGGGAGAGGTGAAATGTAAGGGAAGGGAAGGGAGCGTTGATTGAAGGGGGTGGGGGAGGTGGTGCCGAAGGGGCCGGACGCGGAAGACGCGGTTCTGCTGGACGCATTAATGGAGATGGAGAATGCCCTTAGCGAGCAGATGGCGAAGGGGTGAGTAAGGGCGAGAGGGAAGGGGTAGCGGAAGGGAAGGATGGGAGAAGGGCCCGACGCGGAAGAAGCGGTGCTGATGGACGAACGGACCAACGGAGATGAGGAATGCTCTTAGTGAGCCGATGGCGAAGGGGTGAGCGAGAGGGAGAGGGGAGGGGGAGGGGAAGGTGAAGGAATGGGGGAAGGGAGGGCAGAGGGTATGGGGGTGGAGGTCGCTGAGGTGGGTGCGGACGCAGAAGACACGGTTCTGCTGGACGCATTAATGGAGATGGAGAATGCTCTTAGCGAGCAGATGGCGAAGGGGTGAGTGAGTGAGGTTAAGGGGGGAGGGGGAGAATGAAAGGGGGATGAGAGGAGGGTGAATTCGTGTAGGTGATATTGTGGGTCTCAGTGATCCCAGGTTGTTGATAGCACAGGGAGCGGAGGCGGATCTAGTGGACGAGGTAGAGAGGAGATGGAAGCAGTATGGAGATGGAAGCAGTATGGAGATGGAAGCAGTATGGAGATGGAAGCAGTATGGAGATGGAAGCAGTATGGAGATGGAAGCAGTATGGAGATGGATCCAACCTTTCTCCCGTCCCCTCGTCCCAATCATCCCAGGGTGGCCATAGCAGAGGGAGCGGAGGCGGATCTACTGGACGAGGTGGAGAGGGGCGTGGGGCTGGTGGAGGCCATGGCTGCCCAGCCCAACGCCACCCTGTCAGAGCGGTGAGTCTGCGTTTCAGAAACGGCTTTTAAGCCGACTTTTGAGACGGCGATCGAGAGGAATAAAGAGCCAGAAGGTGGACGGGACGAGGTGGAGAGGCTTACTTTTGAGGCGCCTCAAAAGCAGGAACGGTTTTCGAGTCGAATTTTGAGACGGCGGTGCGCTTGAGAGGAATAAAGAGCCAGATGGTGGACGGGACGAGGTGGAGAGGCATGTGGGGATGGTTGGTAGAGGCTATGGCAGCCCAGCCTAACACCACCCTGTCGACCCAGTGAGTCCCTTCTCTCACCTTCCCTTCCCTCGCGTCAACCTGCTTTTACGATTCGGAGACATGTCAATACTCCTCCTCCTCCTCCTCCTCCTCCTCCTCCTCCTCCTCCTCCTCCTCCTCCTCCTCCTCCTCCTCCTCCTCCTCCTCCTCCTCCTCCTACTCCTCCTCCTCCTCCTCCTCCTCCTCCTCCTCCTCCTCCTCCTCCTCCTCCTCCTCCTCCTCCTCCTCCTCCTCCTCCTCCTCCTCCTCCTCCTCCTCCTCCACCTCCTCCTCTTCCCCCCCCACGCTTTGAAGCTATCAGCAAGGGCCTTCTAAGTCCACTCAGCTCGTTTTCTCGTTTATGGAGGCTGGGCAAAGCAACGAGTCAACTGAACGCTAATTGGCCTCTGCAGTAGACATACACACTCAGCTCATTCGACCTCTTCTTCTCGTTTGATTGATCCCTTCCTTCCCTTAGCGCCATGCTCCTGGCGCACGCATGACTGCAGCACGTGGAGCAGGCAGAGGCGCTCATTGCCCTTGAGGGTGGAGTGGAGCAGTGTGTTGAGGGGTACGAGGTCTCCTATGCTCCTTCATTCTTCCCTTGCCGCTCTCCTCCCAGAGCCATGATCATGGCGCAGGCATTGCTGCAGCAGGTGGAACAGGCAGAGGCGATCATTGCCAAGCGCATGGCAGCGGGCAGCAGGTGAGAGTGAGGCGAGAGCTGTGGGAGTGGGTGGGTTGCGATACGATGGAGGGGGGAGGGTGCAGCGGAAGGAGGAGAGTGCAATGGTAAAGTGGTGATTTGAGTAACATCTGAAGTGAGTCAAGGCGGTATTAAATAATATACTATGCCCTACTGAAGTGAGTCACGGCCATAGTAAATTATATTCTGCTCTGCTAAAATGGTGCTCGCCTGTGCGTCCCTCTCCTTCTTCTCCTCTCTCCCTACCCCTCTGCTCCTCCCCTCTCCCCCTTCCCCTCTGTCCTTTCCGCTGGTCCCTGCAGTGTGGCCTCTGTAACATCCGCTCGAGAAGGCATACTCGCTACAGTACCACTCGATAAGAGCATAAAGCGCACCGACCTGAATGACTCGTTTCTCAACTACCACAAAACAATCTACCCCGGGCAAGTGAAACTTCGCTGCATGGGCGAACCCTGCCCGAACTTCGGCTCCTGCGGGGACTCCTTCCCGACCGTGCGCGCCTGCTTCCGCCCGGAATTCGCCGACGAAATTTACTACCGCCCGGACCAGCCGGAAAACTGCCCGAAATTGTCGCACGCGAACGAGTCGGGGGAGCTTGGGGCGGATCCGAGATGCACGCACAAGACGGACCACCATTGGCATGATGCGATGGTGTTTCAGGTGTTTGAGCTACGCGGCATGTTCATCAATGTCAATGGGCTTGTCTTCAACCGCTCCCTGCACTTCGACCGCCACGGCTGCTTTCGAGACCTCGAGGTGCGCTGGGGGGATTGGGAGGGGGAGATGTGCGTTGGGGGGATGATGGCGGGGGGGGGGGGAGGGGGGCAAGATGGGGGCATATTTGGGGGACCAACTTATTGTGTTCAACTGCTCCTTGCACTTCGAGTGCCATGGGTGCTTCCGAGACCTGGAGGTGCACTGGGGGATTAGAGGGTGTTGAGATTAGAGCGAGAATGAGGAGCCATAGCTAGGTAAGCCCTAGCTAGGCAAGTGAAAGTTTAGGCAGAGGGAGGTTCACTAGCAAGCAGCAAGATACATATAGGAAACCCTAAGGAGTTATACTCGCTATAGAGTACCCCACTGCAGGTTAGCTAGACAATAATAACATTCTGACACACCCCTATAGTCAAAGTGGGGTATAATCAGCAGAGCAAGCAATCATAGAACAATAGTTCACACTGATAAGCAAAGCTAGAGTTAATCACAACGGGCAAGTAAGGAGGAGGAGGAACTGTGGAGGGAGAGAAGATGGGAAGCAACGACTGAAGCTGCAGAGGCACGGGCACAGGAGCGGCTGACTCAGTGGCTACCGAAGCAAGGGCGACGGACTACTGGAGTGACTGGCTCCGCGGCTATAGACGAGCGGCAGGAGCAACGGACCCACTGGCGACTGGTGCAACAGGCTCACTGGCTACCGAAGCAAGGGCGACGGACTACAGGCGATGCAGGCGACACGACAGCTACCTTCACACCACCTCCTCCAACTGCCCCACACCCTCGACACACACCCCCTGCTCAAACCCTAGCTCCACTCCCACGGCACCCTCCTTAAACCCTAAACCCTAGGCTCCCACACACTCACCCCCCTCAGCGACAGCTGCAGCAGTGGGAGACGAGGTGATGGGAGGAGCAAGGGGAGGAACACATAACCGCCACCCCCACACCCGCCACCCCCATGCTCGGCACCCCACTCCCCCAGCACCACGGAATGCACGGGGGGGGGGGGGGGGGGGGAACGGGACGGGCTGCAGGTGCGGGCTGCTCCAGGGGCGGCCGCTGCAGGTGCGGGCTGCTCCAGGGGCGGCTGCTGCAGGTGCGGGCTGCTTCAGGGGCGGCTGCTGCAGGTGCGGGCTGCTCCAGGGGCGGCTGCTGCAGTTGCGGGCTGCTCCAGGGGCGGCTGCTGCAGGTGAAAGGTAGGAGCGAGGGGAGGGGAAGGGCGCGGCCCCCAGGGTGCCCCGACGGGCGACGAGCTAGGGAGCCGCGCGGGCCCACGAGAGCGCCTCGACAGGCGACGGGAGGGGACCGCGTGCGGGCCCCCAAGGCGCCGCGACGAGGCGACGGTTGGGGCCGGCGCGCGGCCCCCAAGGCGCCGCGACGAGGCGACGGGAGGGGCCGGCTCGCGGGTCCCCAAGGCGCCGCGACGAGGCGACGGGAGGGGCCGGCTCGCGGGCCCCCAAAGCGCCGCGACGAGGCGAGGGGAGAGGCCTGCGTGCGGGCCCCCTAAACGCCGCGACGAGGCGACGGTTGAGGCCGGCGCGCGGGCCCCCAAGGCGCCGCGACGAGGTGACGGGAGGGGCCGACGCGCGGGCCCGCAGGGCACCGCACGAAGCAGGAACCCGCCGCGCGCCTCGGGGCGCACGGCGGGCAGAAAACCGCCACGCGCTCGGAGCGCGTGGCGGGAAGAAAAATAGGAGGTCGCGCGCCATAGGGCGCGCGACACACAGTAGGGCAGCGGAAGCAGGTGGGCCCACAGGCCAGGAGCGTAATGCTCTGATACCATGTTGAGATTAGAACGAGAATGAGGAGCCATAGCTAGGTAAGCCCTAGCTAGGCAAGTGAAAGTTTAGGTAAAAAAGGAGGTTCACTAGCAAGCAGCAAGATACATATAGGAAACCCTAAGGAGTTGTACTCGCTATAGAGTACCCCACTGCAGGCTAGCTAGACAATAATAACATTTTGACAGAGAGGTGGAGGGGGGTTGGGTAAATTGGGGGGATCTTGGGGGGATCAACATGTTGTGTTCAACCGCTTCCGGCACTTAAACTGCCATTGGTGCTTCCAAGACCTGGAGGTGCGCTGGGGGATTAGAGGGGTGGAGGGGGGTTGGGTAAATTGGGGGGATCTTGGGGGGATCAACATGCTGTGTTCAACCGCTTCCGGCACTTAAACTGCCATTGGTGCTTCCGAGACCTGGAGGTGCGCTAAGGGGGGAGAGAGAGTGAGTGGGGGTATTGTGGCATGGGGGTTTTATGAACGAGGGGAGATGGAAAGAATGGGGGGCACAGTGCCCTCCCTGGCATACAAGTACACCACACAGCACCGCACCTCCTACCACTCCACACCACAACCCCTCCTTCCTTCTCTCTCCGCCACCCTACCTCCCACCCCCCCACCAGTTTGACTACAAGGCAGGGGAATCCCAGGGGTTGAAGCTGCACCTGGTGGTGTCCCTCGCATACAACCATGCAGTGGCCTTCGACCACTCACTCCTGGAGTTCTTCCCCCAGTTCCTCATGCTCGCTGACTTGCTTTGAGCCATTACCCTGCTTCTGCCCACCCCACTCCACCGCTACCAACCCCACCCGAACCCCTACCCTCCATCAGTTTGACTACAAGGCAGGGGAAGCGCAGGTGATGAAGCTGCACCGGGTGGTGTCACTCGCGTACAACCATGCATTCGCCCTCTACCACTCCCTCGTGGCGTTCTTCCCCCAGTTCCTTCCTCATGCTCTCTGTCCCCATCCCGCCCAACCCCGCCTACACCAGTTTGACTACAAGGCAGGGGAGTCCCAGGTGATGAAGCTGCACCGGGTGGTGTCACTCGCGTACAACCATGCAGTGGCATTCTACCACTCGCTCGTGGAGTTCTTCCCCCAGTTCCTCATGCTTGCTGACCTGCTGCGCGCCAACCCTGACATCCCCATCCTCTTCCGCCGCAGCCAGGTATGCAGACCTTGTGCCAGGTATGCAGACCTTGTGCCAGGTATGCAGACCTTGTGCCAGGTATGCAGACCTTTTGCCAGGTATGCAGACCTTGTGCCAGGTATGCAGACCTTGTGCCAGGTATGCAGACCTTGTGCCAGGTATGCAGACCTTGTGCCAGGTATGCAGACCTTGTGCCATTCTTCCAGTGAGCTGGGATGCTTAGGAGCTAGGTTTAAGCAAGTAGGAAAAGCGTGTAAAGCTATAACACTAGCAAAAAACCGAGAGTCAGGTCGCTGGAACTCTTCTCGTTAACAACAACTAAAACAAGACGCACCAACGCACCCACATTTTTGCTGGTAATTCACATGCCTTTGTAATGGAAGGAGGCTTAAACGGGGATGCACTTACGCACACACAAGGGGGATGAAATTTCTGTACATGACACGCAATTGGTGGACAAAACAGCTAGGCTATTCGTTCAGCAATCTCAAATCTCTCTTCCCTTCTCTTTTCTGTGCCTGCCTGCCTGTCCTGCCTGTCCTGCCTGTCCTGCCTGTCCTGCCTGCCTGTCCTGCCTGCCTGTCCTGCCTGCCTGTCCTGCCTGCCTGTCCTGCCTGCCTGTCCTGCCTGCCTGTCCTGCCTGCCTGTCCTGCCTGCCTGTCCTGCCTGTCCTGCCCTTCCCTGGTTGTACTCGTTACAAGCTGGCCTTCTACAACGAGATGGTGAAGCACCTGGTGGGTCTGGAGACGACACAGATGAACCTGATAGTGGTGGAGGACACGCACCGCTCCAAGCTCATTCACGCTGATGTTGTCTACCAGGTACGGTGTGGTTCTGTGCGGTGCTGATGTTCCAGTAGAAGGCCCTTTAAAGATGAACCTGACAGTGGTGGAGGACACACACCGCTCCAAGCTCATTCACGCCGACGTTGTCTACCAGGTACTGTGTGGTGCTGTGCGGTGCGATCCAGTGCTGTGCTGTTTATCAGGACGACTCAGATGAACCTGATAGTGGTGGAGGACACACACTGCTCCAAGCTCATCCACGCTGATGTTGTCTACCAGGTCGGTTCTGTGCGGTGCTGTGCGGTACTGTGCGGTGCTGTGTGCTCCATTATTCATTGTATTACCCTCTTCCCCCCCCACTCCCCCCCACAGCCCGTGTACCAAGGCTGCGGCAAGCCC